AAAGATGATAATCGAATGTAATCACACTATTCTGAGATAATCACTTGAGATTATAATATGTACCTTTGTTTTTCACTTCCCTTTAAAACTGTTTAGCTTTTTAATTGAAAAGATATGTACATGTATATGTGTATACATGATGAAAAATTCTGGCAGAAAAAAGGTGATTTGGTGCATACCAAGTCTAATCCAGCCCCTGACTTCTCATTACTCCATCCCCAGTAATTTTTCTGTATGCATATAGGCATACATATTTTTAAAGTACACAGTTTTCTGTTTTACACAAATGGCATCATATTAAAAATGCTCTTACTACTTTCATTTTCTCATTCACCAGTATATTTTGAAGATAATTCCGTAATACTTCATACAAATGTGACTCATTCTTTTTCTCCTGATTAATTGTATTTTATTACATACGTATGTCATGATTTATTTAACTGGTTTTCTATTGCTAGACATTTTGATTGTTAAATAAAGAAAATGTAGGAGAAAACCACTACCAAGATAGTGAAAAGGAAGCTGCAAATTGGGAAGAAACACAGTAAAAAGATGGGCAAAACATTTGAATAGTTACTTCAACAAACCCAAAGGAGCAACAACACACACAGAATTCAAGTAAGTACAGTCGTTCCATGGCATCCATGTGGAATTGTGTGCAGGACTCCGCACAGATGCCAGAGCAGATGTGTATGTCCAAGTTGCTTATATAAAATGGTGGTGTATTTGCATATAACCTATGTATATCCTCCAGTATACTTTCAGTCATTTCTAGATTACTTATAATGCCTAATGCAATATAAATACTATGTAAATAGTTATTATACTGTATTGTTTAGAGAACAATGACAAGAAAAAAATCTGTGCATAGTTTATACAGACACAATTTTTTAAATTTTGGGGGGGTGGGACTGGGGTTTGAACTTGGGGCTTCACATTTTCAAAACAGGTGCTCTGCTGCTTGAGCCACACCTCCAATCCATTTTGCTTTGGTTATTTTGGACCATGGGTCTTGAGAACTATTTGCCTCATTGGCCTTTAACAATGATCCTCTCAATTTTAACTTCCCAAATACCTAGGATTACAGGCATGAGCCACAGGCAGGTGGTGATTTTTTTGAAATGTTTTTGATCCACACAGTTGGTTGAATCTGAGGATGAGGAGAACCAACTGTATATGAAAAAATGCTCACCATCTTTTGGAAAAAAATAATACGCCACTATACTACTATAAGAATAGTATACTAAAATTAGGAAGACTATTCATAGCAACTGTTGGTGAGGATACAGAAACTTGCAAGAGTAACTGTAACGTCAGCCTCTCCAATTTTCATAGAGCCCTCAGGAGCTGTCAGTCTAGTAGCAGAATCTTCAGTGATTACTCGACCTGGCGTGATAAGAGCCACGGCTGATTCAAATACCTCATGATTGCCCAAGGAGATGCCACTGCAGCCACTGAAACCTGGAGGAGACTTCATTCCAGCCACAGAAACATGGAACCCATCACATTTGTCATGGTCACCACTCCAACAGAGGTTTTTGCTTTAGGAAGTTTTGCTTCCGTCATGTCTATTCCAGATGCCCTGTCATGGCTCCAAGAGACTTTGCTTTGGCCATGATTGTTTCAGATGAACCCACCTACAGCCCTTTCAAATGTTTTCACCCTTCTTGTAGTTGTCCTTACTTCCAGTGGAGATGAACACGTCCCAGCCCATGACAGCTGGGTCTGGCAAGCCTAGTCCACCTGCTCAGACTAGCTTGACTAAGCAGAAAGTTTCTGGTTAGCAGAAAGGAAGCTGTGTACAGCCATGACTGACTATATAAGCAGGCTTCCTCTCACTTTTTTAGGGTCAGTCTGGGAGACCTCCCTTCTATATATGATTCCACACACACACATACCAGCAAAGCCTCCTTTTGAGTGGTTTTATTCCTACTTATGGTCTTTGTCACTGGGAAAAGTGGGCTGAGCTTTTAACATGAAGAGCAGACAATTTTCTGGGCTGCCAGTTCCAAGCACACCCACCATCAGTTAGAAAGCAACTGAAGAGTTCCAAAGAGAAGTGAGAGCAGAGGTAGGACAGTGAAGGCAAAAGGATGCCAAGAGCTGAGACTGCAGAAAGTTAGAAAGTGAAAGGCTGTGGAGAACAGAGATTACAGAAGAGCTGCCAGCACTGATTACTGGAAGAGTTTGAGATAGCTGCTGAGAGTTACTAGCTCCAGCTGTGGAGGAGCCACCCAGAGTGGCTAAGAGCTGAGGCCCACTGGCACTCAAACCTCAGAGCTATAATGCTAGCTGCTGGGTGCTGGGCTGCTGGCTTTAACACTAAGAACAGACTTCCCAATGCCCTAAGCTCAGAGTTGTTGTCACTAATAGAACTGTACCTTGCCTATTCACGATTTGCACCCAAAGGGAGTAAAAGAGCCCTTGGCCAATTGGTAACATTGATATACCCTATGACATAAATTGGCATCCAATCAAATTATTCCTGTAGCAGGATCTCGGCTGTGCATTTTCTTCCTAAGTTCTTTTCTGTTTCTTTTTTGCGGCTATTTGCAAATAGTTGTGAGTTGCTTTCTACCCTTGTGTAGTATATATTACTAATACCACTGTCTAGTTCTTTTTCCTCCTAGCAAATAGAAGCTCTCTTTCTTCCTAGCCCTTTTGCACTTTCTCAGGATGGGACATGTGATAAGTTTAGTTGAACCACTCAAGAGCCCTTGCAGGATTCTCTAGTGTCTCAGCATTCTAAATGGTGGCTCCCCCATTGTTCTTAGTCCTGAGAGACAATATAGAGCAGGTTGCCTCACCCTGGCTATGTAGAATGAGAAATTTTTCTTGTGTGTGCTAGGCCATTAATACTTAATAATTAAATTCTCCTCTCCAATATGTCAGGCCACAAAATCTTCCTCTGTCTAGATAAATCAAAATCAGTTTCATTGCCCTGACAAATTTAGGTATTGGTACCAGAGAAGTAGTCATAAGCAACAGAATAGGGTAAAACTAGAATTGGTTATCAGGCCTTGTTTGCATCTAAAGGTAATTTAAGAATCGTAGTAGTATCCAGGGACAGGTATCTAGCTCCCCCTGTGAAATACAGTAGCAAATAACTAATTATTTGAGCCAATTATTCTTGGGTTCACAAGAATGAGGTTCTCATGGAAGTCAAAGTCTTTGGGAATAATTATGGCTCCTGCTATAAAAATGTATGATAATGATGACAACAATGATGATGATGGCTACCACACATGTAACAGTTTGCATGTGCAAAGGACTGTGTGTGTGTGTTTGTGTGTGTGTGTGTGTGTGTGTGTACGTATGTGTGGAAACTTATTTAATGAACTAAAGGACATAAAGCACGGATAAACAGACAAGTTACAAGGCTGTAGCGAATGGTCCTAGAGAAAGAAAAAGCACAAAGCTTAAGCCCAAGTCTCTTCTGTAATTGTAGCCTACATCAGAAAGCTTAGTCTTTATGGTTACAGTGGGCCTTTCTATACCCCCCTCTAGCCTTGTGGATGGCTTCTCTCAGTTTCTTTGCTATTCTATTTTACTCTTTAGCATCTGCATGAACTTCATAACCAATTCTGACATTAAAATCCCTCATTTAAAATAACCAGATGTCATGATTGGACCCTGATTGTAATAGTTCCTAGAATTAGGAGTAGTAGTCTGGTATTAGCTTTAGCAGCATAACAACCCACCCCAAAATTTAATGGTTTAAAATTAATGATTTATTTTTGCTCATGACTCTATGGATCATTTGTGTGTTTCTGTTGATCTCCAAGCTAATTTACTCTCAGCTAGAGAGCAAAAAATATATCTACAATTATCTGACAGGTTGCTCCAGGGCTTCTTGGTTCATATCCACATTCTTGGCTATTGGAAAGCTGTCTTCTGTGGACAATGCAGAAGGCTATGGATACAGAGAGGGGATAATCATAGGCATTCATTATTCCAAAATCTTTGAGAAATAGAACTTCATAATGAGACTTTTGGATTGGTTCACACGTTTGAGTTGGACACCATGAAACCTCCTTAATAGAGTTGCTAGAAACCTTTGGCATTTACTGGCATCACAGTCACTTGGACTATCTTGTCATCTGTGGTTTCTTGGGAGGAAGTGTCAATTGAGAAAAGACTTTGGGAAATTAAATTGCTGCTATACTCACTAATGTGGTTATTATGAGTAAAAGATTTGTGGTATGGGAGTGCAGCTTCTGATTATTCTATAGCGTTTACAGCTCAAGGCATGGACACAGAACCAGATGACTTCTTGGTGCCATTATGTTTGTGTGTGTATGTGTGTTTCCATAAGGATAGGCCCAAAATATAATTGTTTGATGTGCATAGTTAGCATGTAAGTTTAATATGTAACTTCTAAAAATCTCTGTGTGAAAACTGGGGCTTTATATATGGAAGGATGACATTTGGGTGACTTCAAATAAATCTGAAATCCTAAATCCCCTTAAACTTCTCTTTCTGAGAAGATAAGCTTTCTCTGCTTAAAGATGCTGTAACATTCCCACCCACGATAGTTGGCTTACAAGGTGATGCCTGTTCCTCCTATGTGTGTACCTAACAACTAGAGTCAGATATGAGATACAGTGTGTCGCAGTGAAATATTTCAAAGTCTTTTTCTGTAGGAGACAGATTCTACACTAAAAGAATTTCAAACTCTTGCTAACTTATATTAGTAGGGAAATGTGGGAATGGATTTAAAGGATCTTAGGCCAATGTGAGTGGTGTGTTAACAGGAGCCAACATATTGAAACAGATACACTTACCTAAGATTCTGAATATATAATACGTTAACACAGTTAGCTCTAAGTGGGTCTAAGAGTTTTACTGGTTGCTAAACTAAGATTTTAATTCAGTGATGACTACAATTAATAAGATTTACATGTTGTTATATCTTGCTTAGCATGATGTAGGAGAAATCCACAGGTTTAGGAAGACATGGATGTTGGAGTTAATTTATTATGTTCAATTCATTTCCTTACCTTTTTGTTGCCTGATCAGGTTTAGACGACATTTTCCTTCAGGTCATTGAGAAATGAATCAGTATGGGGAGACACTGAAATGAACTCACTGATTTCAATAAGAATGATGGATTCTACATAACTGGAAAAACTTGAGACCTCATGAGCCAAAATGTGACTTGAGTTGCCACAATATGAAGCTGTGGTCTTTTGCTTTGTTCTTACAATTAAGTCAATTTACAGATCATAAATCTATTGATTGAAGGGGAGACTATGTCATCTTGAAGAAGGACCTGTGATTGTTTATTGGGATGATTGTGTCCCTGGAGGAAAATACAGAGTGGATACTAGTTCTGAGTAGTTAATTTGTAGGAATTAGAAATGCTATTGTGATCTACTAAACAGAGTAAAGACTGAGGGAGAAGAGAAAATAAATTAAAATTTACTCTGAATGGGTGTTTTGTGGCAAAATGAGTGGACTTCAGTAGCCATTTGCTTGTTTCCTCTTGAATCTGCCTTTCCATTTTTTTCTCTTCAGTGTAGCCAGGGTCAGCATTGCACAGACTTTGAGTCTGAGTATATAAATGCACATAAAATTAATATGGAGAGAAAGGTTTCCCAAGAGTAAGTAATGAACAGCTTTCAATTTTCACTGTCTGTGTATTTTCATTAGTTTTTATAACAAACACCTTTGAAGGGTTTTTTGTTTTGAGCTTGAACTCAGGGCCTACACCTTAAGCCACTCCACCAGCCCTTTTTTGTGGTGGGTTTTTTCAAGATAGGATCTCGAAGAACTATTTGCCTGAGCTGGCTTTGAACCATGATCCTCTTGATCTCTGCCTCCTGAATAGCTAGGATTTCAGGTGTGAGCCACTGGTGCCTGGCTACCTTTGTAGTTTTAAAGCATATAGTTCTGTGTGAATGACTCAAAGTTTTCTAAATAACTGTCTACCTATCTGGTGGCAACTTTAATGTCTTCCAAGTTTTACCTACAGGCCATATTATTATAGTTGCAGGGATCTTCCTTTCCCCATACCCTTTCCTTAAGTAATATGAAAAATTTATATCTGATTGAGTCAATTAAAATATTTCATTTTATTTTCTTCTTCCAGAATCCATTTTGTACCAATGTGATCTGACAACATTCCTCAACATTCACATAAAATACGAAATTATTACATCTCCACCTTGTTTTAATAAACTCATTCTGCAATTACTTACATCCCACATTAAATGTCTCAAAATGAATGTGAAGAAAAGTCCACCACTGTGTTGGTGGCTCATCATTTTGAGAGTGATATTTTAGTGCTAAAGTATATCAGGTTCTAATTTTCTAAGGAATATGACAAAATGATGCTTTTAAATTGAGAAACATGAAGGACCATAAAATTATGTTGCTTCTCTAAGAAGTTTATAAAACTTAAAACTCCATGAGAGTTTGACAAGCTTAATATCAGAAGGCCTTTCAATATGGAAATCCCAGCAGTATTCTGGTGATAAGATTTTAGTGGGTTTATGGAGAAAGAAATACTTATTTAAGTGGCTTTCATCATGCCACACTGCTTCAATGTTATTTTTCTTGTCATTCATGATTCCTTTGGCACACTCCTTGACAATATCAAGAACTTGAATGGTTGTGCCACCAAAAACAGCAGCATGGTAATAAAAGTCTCCTTTACCCCTAGGTATATAAGCTTCTGATATCTGTCTTCTTTCATAAGGTAAATTTGTAATATTAGCTTTATACCAATAAGCATGTAACTGAGCTACTGACTCTCCCAGCGTTTCCAAACCATAATTTGTTCTGAAGACTTGATCCACATCCATACAGAAGAGGTAGTCAACCTCATACTGGATGTGGTCCGCAATGTGTTCACTGATAGTCTTCATGCGCATCATACTGACATCTTGCCATCTCTTCTCGCGCTTAATTTCAAAAACTTTGAACACGCAAAGGCGCCGCAAAGGCCTCCAAGACATTTTGGAGAAGTTATCTACCATGACATAAATGATGACTTTCTGGTCAACCATAAAAAATTTATCAGCAGATTTCAAAAAGTGGGGCAAGTAGAATGGAAGATACCTGTGAAATAAATGAAAGCGCCCTTAACGCAGAGAAACTAAAGCAGATACCTTAAAAGCAACTGAGGCCAATAGGAAAAGGGGAACAGGAACTAGAGAAAAGGTGAGATCAAAAAGAATTAACCTAGAAGGTAACACACACGCACAGGAAATCAATGTGAGTCAATGCCCTGTGTAGCTATCCTTATCTCAACTAGCAAAAACCCTTGTCCCTTCCTGTTATTGCTTATACTCTCTCTACAACAAAATTAGAAATAAGGGCAAAATAGTTTCTGCTGGGTATTGAGGGAGTGGGGGGAGAGGGAGGGGGCGGAGTGGGTGGTAAGGGAGGGAGTGGGGGCAGGGGGGAGAAATGAACCAAGTCTTGTATGCATATATGAATAATGAAAGAAAAAAAATTAATGAACGTGATTTAAGTTTATTCTTCTTATATTTTAGTAGAACACATACTAATTCCGTGGACATAGCTTATCCAATACTACTACTAAGCAACCAAATATTAGATATTATCTTTTATTATCATTAATTGTACAAAGTGTGTGTCATGACATTCTCATATTTTCATACAATGTACTTTGACCATAACCTCTCTTCCCCTCAGCCTTTCTTTTCCCCTCCCTTCTTCCCTGTTCCCTTTCCCTGATTGACCAAATATCTCCTTTACCTCCTGTTTTTAAAATCTAGATTACGTATGTATCATTCTGGATCTGGGTTATTTTGCTTAACCTGATGATCTCTTGCTCCATCCATTTCCCTGCAAATAAAATAATTTTGGTCGTATTTATAGCTGAATAAAGCTCCTTTGTGTATATATACCACACTTTCATTATCCATTCTTTTTTTGTTGGACACCTAATCTGTTTCCATACTTTGGCTATTACTGCAACAAACGTAGGTGTTCAGGTATTTCTATTGTATTCTTAGATTACTTCAGGTATATACCCAGGAATGGTATAAGTTGGCTTGTCTGGTTGTTCTGTTTTTTAGTTTTTAGAGGAAACTCCATACTGTTTCCCATAGTGATTGAATTAATTTACCTTCCCATTAACAGTGCATAAGGGTTCACTTTCCCCCCTGCATCCTTGCCAGCACTTGATTGCTTCCTTGGTGATAGCCATTCTGACCGTGGTGAGATGGAATCTCAGTGTTATTTTTATTTGCATTTTCTTTGTAACTACGGATGTTGAACGTTTCCTCATTTAGAACTATGTTGGCTGTAGGCTTGAAATATATATCCTTTATTATGCTAAGGTACATTGGTTCTATCCCTGGTTTCTTCAGGGATTTTATCATGAAGGGAGTTTGAATTTTGTCAAAGGCTAAAACCTTCACCTGTTAAGATGATCATGTGACTTTTGTCCTTTTTCTGATTATGTGTTGTATTACTTTTACTGATTTGTATATAGGAAACAATTTTTGTCTCCCTGGAATGAAGCCAACTTTATCATGATGTTTGATCTTTTTGAGGTGGTGTTACATTTGGTTTGCAAATATTTTATTGAGAATTTTTGCATCTATGTTCAGTAAGGAAATTGGTCTGTAATTTTCTTTTTTCATTGGGTCCTTAATCTGATTTTGTTATCCAGGTAACACTGGCATCATAGAATGAGGTTTGTAGTATTCCTTTCTTTTCTATTTCATGGAATAGTTTGAGGAGCATTAGTGAATTAAGTAATGAGTCTGCCGGGTCCTGTACTTTTTTCTTGGGAGATTCTATTACTGCTTCAATCTCATTGCTGATTATAGACCTGTTTAAGTGGTGTATATCCTCTTGGTTCAGTTTTGGTGGGTCATATGCATCTAGAATGTATTCATCTAGATGTTCTAGTTTATTGGAATATAACTTTTTTAACTATTCCCTAATGATACTATGTATTTCATTGGTATTGATTGTGCTATTTCCTTTTTCATTTCTAATATTATTAATTTGGATCTTTCCTTTCTTTTGATTTATTTGGCTAAGGATTTGTCAATCTTGTTTATTTTTTGAAGAACTGTGTGTTTGTTTCACTTATTCTTTGTATCATTCTTTTAGTCTCCATTTCATTCATTTCTGCCCTGATCTTCATCATTTCTTTCCATCTACTGATTTGGGGTTGGGCTTGTTTTTGTTTTTCTAAGAGTTTGATTGCATCTGCAGGTTATTTATTGGAGAGATCTCTGGTTTTTCAATGTAGGCACTTAAAGCTATAAGTTTTTCTCTCAGCACTGCCTTTGTTGTATCTCAAAGGTTCTGATAAGTGTATTTTCATTTTCATTTGATTCTAGAAGTTGTTGTTTCTACCCTTATTTCTTTGATGACCCACTGATTATTCAAAAATGTATTATTTCATTTCTATGTGTTTGTATGTTTCGTGTGGTTTCTCTTGCTATTGATTTCTGCTTTCTCTTACTGTTGTAATCTGATGAAATACAAGATGTTATTTCCATTTTCTTATATTTGTTAAGACTTGCTTTATGTTTTAAGATATGGTTTATTTTGAGAAACTTCCATGGCTTGTTAAAAGCAATGTTTATTCTGAAGCTGTTAGGTAGAATATTTGGTACATGTCTGTTAAGTCCCTTTGATCTAATGTTCTTTGTTGATTTTTATCTGGATGACTTACCTATTGAGGCGAGTGTGGTATTGAAGTCACCCACTATTACTGTGATGAGGACTATCTGGATTTTATGTCCAGTAGTGTTTGTTTTATGAAATTGAGTGTATTGAAATTTGGTGCATATATGTTAACAATGTTATAACCTCCTGATCAACTGTTCCCTTTATCAATATGAAGCACTCTTTGTCTATTTTGACTAATTTTGGTTTTAAGTCCACTTTATCAGATAAAAGTATAGCTGCTCTTGCTTGCTTTCAGGCAATATGTTTTTTAATATGTATAAGAAAAGTATCTTTTTAATCTTTTCACTTTAAGCCAGTGTTTGTCTTTGCCAGTGAGGCATATCTATTGTAGGCCACAAGTAGTTGGGTCTTGTTTTTTAATACAATCTTCCAGTTTATGTCTTTTGATTAGAGAATTGAGACCATTAACATTCAGAGTTATTATTGAAAGTATGTATTAATTCTTTCATTTTGTTTTTATAGTGCTTGATTTTTTCCCTAATCCTTATTCATTTATCTACTCAGCTTGTAAGATTTCTTCCCATATTTTCATGATTGTCTTTATCTTCCTTGTAAAAGTAGGATTCCTTTAAGTATCTTCTACTGTGCTGGCTTAATAATCATGAATTCCTTTAGTTTTTGTTTATCATGGAAGGTTTTTATTACTTCTTTAATTATAAAGGATAGCTTTGCTGGGTATAGCAATCTAGTCTAGAAGTTATTTTTTTTTTCAGGAATCGGGATACATCATGCCATGCCTTCCTGACTTTTAAAATATATGTTGAGAAATCTGTTATTCTGATGAGTTTGCTGTTGTGTATGACTTGGCACTTCCGTGTTGCAGCTTTCAATAGTCTTATTTAACTATAATATGATATGACAAAGTTATTTTCCAGTCTTATCTGTTTGTTGTCCTAAAAGAATCCTGCAGCTGGGATGACCATTTCTTTCTCAAGATTTGGAGAAATTTCTGCTATTATTTTATTTAATATATTTTCTAGACCTTTAGTTTGCACTTTTTATTATATGACTATGATTCACAGGTTTGTTCTTTTAATGGTGTCCCAGAGGTCTTGCATGTTCCATCATCATATGGAATATGGAATAAGGGATATGATGACATCATCATATTTCTTATCAGTTTTGTCTTTATCTTTATCTGAAGGTTCTAACTCATCTACCTTACCTTCAAGCCCTGATCTTCTACTTTCAATTTGATCCAGTATATTAGCAAGACTTTCAACTTTGAGTTAGTTTCTCATTTCCAGAATTTTCATTTGACTTTTTTAGGATTTCTATGTCTTTATTGAATTCCTGTTTCTTATCCTGCCTTGTTTTCCTCATTTCATTCAGCTGTTTATTTGTATTATTTTATATTTTATTCAGGCATTTATTCTTGTCCTCTTTAACTTCACTGGTCATGCTTATTGCTCTTTTAAATTTTTTTTGAAATTTGTGTCTACTTCACTATCTTTCAAGTCCTTTATTATGGGATTATTGACTTTTGGAGGAGGAGTCAGGTTACCTTGTTTTTTCATATTCTTGTATTTCTGCATTGGGATTGTGCATCTGAGGTCAAGTCATTTAAATCACCTGTAGTCTCTCAGATAAAGTATTCTCAATGTTCAGGTGTGACTGAGTAGCAGCTGAGTTGATGTGCATTTTCTCACTACTGAACTGGAAGTATATCTCAGCAATAACAAAATCACCAGTTCAAAACCAAAACAGATATTTAAATGAATTAAAAACAATTGAGAACATCATCTACACCCCCCACTAAGGTTATATACAAAAGAACTAGGATTGTTATAAGGTATAATAGGGGTTTAAAAATCATTACTATACTGTGTACAGTAAAAAGAAGGAAGAGTAGGAAAGGAAAAAGAAGAAAGATGGGGAGAAGCAGGTGAAGTATATGGGATGATGGTATGTGAAATAATAGTGTGTAAGAATAAGCTTTAATTATTGTGGAGAAAGGCAATATAGTCAGGGAATGAAAAAATGATAGAAAAAAATTAAAAATAACAAAAAAGAAATAGAAAAATAGAAGTCAGTACCCCTTCCTTGTTAGGGAGGAGTGTGTATACTAGCTGGGTTCCATCAGTACAGCAAGTGTTCTCCTCTGATCTCTGGCCCTGAGTGTTGAGTGAGTTCAACTGTTGTATTCACTCCTGGTTCCCCTTTGGGCCTGAAATTGCCCATGATTCACCTCTGGATGCAACCTGGTACAGTGTTCAGTGGTTAGTTCAGGCTCTAAGCCTAGGTCAGCAGCTGAAGAGGAACAAGGTAGGGCCTGTGGAGTAGCAGCAATTCATAGGGCTGGGCTGCTCCACAAGTGCCACAACTATGGCCCACTGTAGCAGTTCTAATGAGAATTAGATGGTTCCAAGCATGTGTGGCAGCAGCTGGGAAGGTGGAGCTGTGTGCAGATAGTGGGCCAAGGTGCATTTTGCTAAGTTCACTCACTCCCATGGCCTATGCCTTGTCCTGTATGAGGAACCTAATGGCAGCTCCAGCTTGTCCTCAGTGAGGTTCGTCATCTTTCACCTAACCCTCTGGGTTGGATGTTTCATATGCAAAACGGCACATGGCTAGCCCTTTTCACACAAATACACTGGGATATGGGTCTAAGATGGATGAGGTTCATGCCACAGAGTTTGCCATTTTGGGTTCCACTGAGAAAACTTTTTCCTTTGTTCCTTTAATAGATCTAGAATTCAATATTTCTTGATTTCCTCTGGTCACTATTTTTTTTAAAGTGGTGCCCTCTCCTGTTTTTCTAAATTGTTCATCTTTCCTTGTAGTCATGTACCTGAGTTTTTATTTTAGGTTTGTGGAAATGTATAAATGTGGTGGGTGTCTATAATCTGCCATCTTGGAGAGCCCATCTATTCTCTTTAAATGTAGGTATTTATAGTTTTTTGGACACTGCTTTTGCTACATCCCATAAATTTTAATATGTTGTGTTTTCTCATTCTTCTTAAGGTATTTTCTAATTTTCCTTGTGATTTCTTCTTTGATGTCTTAGCTATTTAAGAGTGCATTGTTGAATTTCCACATATTTGTGAAGTTTCCAGATTTTTTTCCTATAATTGATTTTTTATTTCATTCTAGTATGGTCACAGAAGAAGCTTGGTTTAATTTCAATTTTTATAATTTATTATAATGTTTGTGGTCTAAATATGCTCTATCCTGGAGACTGTTCAGTGTGCACTTGAGAAAAATCTATATTTCTTGACTGGACTGTTTTATGTGTTCTTTATTTCACTAAATGTATGTATTAGAAAAGAAACCATATAAAGAAAAAAACAGAGTTGTTGATAAATCTGTTGAAAAAGTCACTGACCTTGGTCAAAGATAGTGGCTATGAATAGATTTCTCTCTGCTAAGCAACACCACCAACATGAACTGATACATCTAAGTAAATGGATATCACCAGGGTCCATTTATCATCTCTAGATAAGAGATTGCAGGGTTTTTCTTTTCAGAACTGTTCACTCTATTTTGGACATTCTAGTTTACATTATGAGGTTTGTAAGTGTATACATCCAGTATGATGTCTTCCCTATATTTGGTACACATTTTATGTCTAGCAAATAATCTTCAAAGTTACATTTATTTGAAGTAATTCTTAGTGTCATTGAACTTAAAGCCTCTGTTTTCTTTTTATCACATTTGTTGTTTTCATAGGATTTCAAGTGATAGATCAGTGCAATAGCTCTGCTCTTCCATCTGTAAATAGAAATATTTCATTGCAATTATTTTTCTTTTTTTAGGAGTCAACCTTAGTGGTTTTGATTTTCTATTTGGTTAGCACTTTGGCAGAAACTGGATTTAAGTACTGGATTATTTTAGGGACTCTCTTTTTTACATTATGCTTATTGGTCAGAAATTGTAACATGTAAAAATTTTACTGCAGACAGTTGCAGTTACTTTGTTTTGTTATATATTGATCCTGTGAAAGATCAATAAACATAATTAAGTAGGTTTATCTGAAAGTAGCTTATGACTTGGGAAATGCACAGGAGGGAGGAAACTATTGGGTCAATCTAGTATAGAGACAATTACAGTTATAACAGAAGCATAAGCTTATATTAAAATGATTGGTCATAGGCCTAGAAAATCAAGTTAATATTGAGAGAGGATTGTAAAAATCAGATAATAGAAAAGAAACTGAGGGGTTGGTATGCTTTTTGTATGGACCAAGTGGTGATGATATGTAGAATTACATAGGAATTGGCCTGGATAGAATAATTATTGAATGAAATTATGAAGTACTTCAGTAGATTACCTACTGTTTTCTACAACAAAAAGCCTGAATGTAAAAGAAATTTGACATAATTTCTTACCTTCCCACAGCAAACACAATCAACCCCACAGTAATGTCATGATTTGCATAATACTTTTCCAAGACTAGCTCATTGTAAGTCCCATGCCACACAACTGGAGCTGACCATTCGGTAGTAGTTCTCAGGTTCATATATGTCAAGTTCTTTCTATGTCTGTAAAAAAGACAGAATTTTTAAAAATTAGCATATTTTGTACAAAGTAAGACACTTGTTATGTCCATAAATGCATATAATGTACTTTGATCATGTTCACCCTCTCTATTACTTGGAAAGACAGAATTTTTAATAAAATATGTTTTAATAAAATAGCAGGAAATCTTGCTAATGCTTAAAGCCTTGGATCTGAATGCAGCATCTTGATACATATAACCTTGATGTCAAATGACGTCTTGATGTTAGATCTACCTTGATGGTTATGATAAAACTGGAGAAGAAGCATATCACAAATTGACAGATTATTACAAAAGTATACTTGCAGATTAGTTATGTTGTGATTCTAAGAACTTTGAAGACACATAGTTGAAATGTCTCCCCACATCTATAGTAATAATTTCTATTATATCCAGCCCTAATCTCGGGGTCTTAGGTTTTTTGACACTGATAATTTTCAAAGCATATTTTTTAAATGAATTTCCTAGTTTTTGTAATCTGAAATGCTGCCAGTGCTAATATTGCTATATACTGTCAATAACAACTTTTTCAGAATTATGGTTTAGAGCAATCAAGTAAATGTTAAGTAGGAATAGGAAAGCTTTGTGGGGTTTTAAAATAAAATTATTCTTGCCCCCAATTCCCTCCCCAATATGGCAGTGGTACTGAAGTCACCTGTCCATATTTCCCGTATGGGTGACTGGTTCTGAAGGAAGAAGAGTGGACCTTATTCTTAAGGAATTATGTTTGTCTATCTTGGCCTGTCTGAGGGTTTTCTGAGTGAATGACATAAAGCACTTTGCTTTGTTGCATCTAGCTCAGATGACTCTCAAAGTAGAAATGTGGCTAAGGTAGATAAGGGAAAGGTGTTCCTTGAATACCTGGTAAAAAGAAATAAGTGCCTGCCACCCTGCAAAACGCTGTAGTTGAGGCAAACACTACCCATGCTGAAAGCCTAAGAGGAACATCTGGGAAGAGAGTTACTTTGGAAAATAAGGGCTTTGATAGCTGCTCAGTATATAACAGGGAATTTAGAAATTTATGCAGATGCCCAAGAGCAGGATACACACTCAGAAAAGACCTGAACTTCCACCTCTGATGTAAATCTCAGTCTTAGGCTCAGTGCAAGTAGGAAGTTAAGGCTAAGACACACTTGTAAACAGGTGGGCTTAATAAGCATTGAAGGTTGGCCGAAACAAAGCCAATGTGCAGACTAAAGGTCCTGTTAAAAATTTTTTTCTCTTCTCTTCTCTTCTCTTCTCTTGTCTTCTCCCCTTCCCCTCTCTCCCTCCTCCTCCTCCTCCTCGTCCTCCTCCTCCTCCTCCTCTCCACTTCATTCTTTTCTGGCCTTTCTTTATTCTCTTTTCATTTCATTTCTATCTTCCTCTCTATTTCTCACCCTCCCTCTTTTTATTCCATCCATCTTTCTTTAGTTTCCTTCCTTTTTTCTTTCTCATTTCTTTCCCTCTTACTCCATCTTCTTTTTTCTTCATTCTCCTTTTCTTCTACCTTTCCTTGAGTTTAGTGAATTCTGACAACCACTAGCTGACCACAAGTAAAAGGAACAGTCACAGAGCCCAACAATGGAAAAATAATCTTTTTAAATGGTTTTAAAAAGTGCTAATCAAACAAAACTATAAGTACAGAACTTGAGAGAGGGCAAAGAATGTAATTTGCAAAGAGACCACAATATGTTAATCAAAATATCCATTTTGACAAAAAATTATGAAGCATAAAAAGAAACAAGAAAGTATGACCCTTTCACAAGAAAAAATACTGTCTCCAAGAAAGGCATCTCTCAGACATTGTATTTACTAGACAAAGATTTTTAACCAACTCTTTTAAATATATATATATAGTCAAAGAACTAAAATTAATTATAGACAAATATTCACATGCAAAGTTTTTCAGCATTAATAGTAATCAAGAAAAGAAGTACAATGGGAATTGAATTTTATTTACATTCTTTTTAAATGATTATATAGTTTTTTCCCCATTGTGCAATTGTTCCATATATTACCACCTTGAATTATTAGGCTATGCCTTACTTGTTTTGTCAGTGATGCTGACACAGCATCCCAGGGATGCTGTGCCCGTTACTAAGCTGTTGTTTTTCGTAACTAAACCCACAACACTATATTCTGCTTTATTTTCCTGGGGCTGGAACTCTGCCAACCCTGTTTCTCCTTTGCCAACTGGTGCACTGTTATTAGGCTCTACAGTGGGCACTGAGGGAAAATTGCAAGGCTGGAGGAAGAAACTTGCCCTTTCCTGTGTTCTATGGGCTTTTTGTCTGCTTCCTGTTCCTGCAGGTCTCATCCCAGCAATGCTTCCTCACCCCAACAATAGCAGTTCCTTCCCAGAGCAGCATTTAAAATCAGTTTTCAAGTTTTTCAATATCTATAAAGTCAGCCTCTTTGTGGCTCTTCCTTAGAAGTCTGGATCCCAGCCCCTACAGGCCTCCATGGTGCTCTTGGGGAGCAGTTAAAGCTCCCCAAGTTGCTACTTTGTCTAAAATCTAATCATTTCAGCCTCTTCCTTTTGTTTCTTCAGCCCTAGTGGAAACAGCTCCTCTAGTTGTTACCTCCATGATACCTCCGAGTTCCCTTTTCAGTCTTTTCATTACCCTGTTAAGAACTTCACATGAATTAATATTCATTATATTGAATTCTCTGCCTGGATAATTGGTATGCTTTCTGTGCCCTGATTAGCTCTGAACAATTGTTATGCTATAAGGATGAGCCATGGATCATGAGCCAGTTATGATCTTCACCTGGATGTCTCTTACCAAAGTTTTAATTAAGGAAATTCCTTTAAGCCTATAGCATTGGTGTGAAAGACAGGCAGGTAGAGTGAGAAAATGGAAATAGAAAGGCCAGAGCGAGGCTGTTGCGCTGAAGCATGGTGAATGCAGAGAGTCCCACTTGGGACTGCTTCTCTCATTGGTGAATGAGGAGATCAACCAAATGACCTCAGGTATCCTGCCTTACACTTCTGATCTGTCACTGTTCTAGGACCTTGAATTTGTGTAATTTAAACTCTTAAACATGAGGGATATATACCTTGGCCACTACTTATTTTTTTAGTCAGAGATCCACCTCCTCTTTAACATTCTGAATCCTGGTAGTAGTATCATTGTCATCTACTAGCATTTATGCATTAACCTCACATATACAAGAGCTACATTCTTACCTGGGAAGGAACCAGTCTGACAGCTGTAATTTGTGGGTTTTCTGAGACCTAAAAGAAAAAAATAATGCAGTCATATTATATATCTTAATAGAGTTTAAGATAATTATCATCAAATCATGGTCTGTATTATAATTTTTCGAAATACAATGTAAAAGCAATAAGGAGAAAAACAATGGTGAACTTTGATGGTAGTAGGCCAAGGTTATGGAAGACTGAATCCTGGCTCCTGGCTCCTGGTAATGCATTTCCCCTATCCAGTTCCCATCCTGCTATCACAGATGCACTCTGCCAGTCTGCTCGTAGGTTCCCAGAATTCTGACCTTAATTACATCCAACATGTGTTTGTAAAATTGCCCTGGCTTACCTTGCCTGAATAAACCAAGAACTCATGGGTACTTCATTGCCCTCCAACCCATTTTGTCCTCAAAGAAGAGGTCATAGCATATTTGTAAATAAAGACTTACCAGCACTGGTACATTCTCAGTAGTTTCTTTGAGCTTAAGACAAATGAAAAGCATTGTGTTACTTTTTTTTGTTCTAAATTTCTTTTTTTTTTCATTTTTCTTTTATTATTCATATGTGCATACAAGGCTTGGTTCATTTCTCCCCCCTGCCCCCACCCCCTCCCTTACCACCCACTCCGCCCCCTCCCTCTCCCTCCACCTCAATACCCAGCAGAAACTATTTTGCCCTTATTTCTAATTTTGTTGTAGAGAGAGTATAAGCAATAATAGGAAGGAACAAGGGGTTTTGCTGGTTGAGATAAGGATAGCTATACAGGGCATTGACTCACATTGATTTCCTGTGCATGGGTGTTACCTTCTAGGTTAATTCTTTTTGATCTAACCTTTTCTCTAGTACCTGTTCCCCTTTTCCTATTGGCCTCAGTTGCTTTAAGGTATCTGCTTTAGTTTCTCTGCGTTAAGAGCAACAAATGCTAGCTAGTTTTTTAGGTGTCTTACCTATCCTCATCCCTTCCTTGTGTGCTCTCGCTTTTATCATGTCCTCATAGTCCAATCCCCTTGTTGTGTTTGCCCTTGATCTAATGTCCACATATGAGGGAGAACATACGATTTTTGGTGGTTTTGGGCCAGGCTAACCTCACTCAGAATGATGTTCTCCAATTCCATCCATTTACCAGCGAATGATAACATTTCGTTCTTCTTCATGGCTGCATAAAATTCCATTGTGTATAGATACCACATTTTCTTAATCCATTTGTCAGTGCTGGGGCATCTTGGCTGTTTCCATAACTTGGCTATTGTGAATAGTGCCTCAATAAACAAGGATGTGCAGGTGCCTCTGGAGTAACAGTCTTTTGGGTATATCCCCAAGAGTGGTATTGCTGGATCAAATGGTAGATCAATGTCCAGCTTTTTAAGTAGCCTCCAAATTTTTTTCCAGAGTGGTTGTACTAGTCTACATTCCCACCAACAGTGTAAGAGGGTTCCTTTTCCCCGCATCCTCGCCAACACCTGTTGTTGGTGGTGTTGCTGATGATGGCTATTCTAACAGGGGTGAGGTGGAATCTTAGCGTGGTTTTAATTTGCATTTCCTTTATTGCTAGAGATGGTGAGCATTTTTTCATGTGTTTTCTTGCCATTTGAATTTCTTCTTTTGAGAAAGTTCTGTTTAGTTCACGTGCCCATTTCTTTATTGGTTCATTAGTTTTGGGAGAATTTAGTTTTTTTAAGTTCCCTGTATATTCTGGTTATCAGTCCTTTGTCTGATGTATAGTTGGCAAATATTTTCTCCCACTCTGTGGGTGTTCTCTTCAGTTTAGAGACCATTTCTTTTGATGAACAGAAGCTTTTTAGTTTTATGAGGTCCCATTTATCTATGCTATCTCTTAGTTGCTGTACTGCTGGGGTTTCATTGAGAAAGTTCTTACCTATACCTACTAACTCCAGAGTATTTCCTACTCTTTCTTGTATCAACTTAAGAGTTTGGGGTCTGATATTAAGATCCTTGATCCATTTTGAGTTATCTTGGTATAGGGTGATATACATGGATCTAGTTTCAGTTTTTTTCAGACTGCTAACCAGTTTTCCCAGCAGTTTTTGTTGAAGAGGCTGCTATTTCTCCATCGTATATTTTTAGCTCCTTTGTCAAAGATAAGTTGCTTATAGTTGTGTGGCTTCATATCTGGGTCCTCTGCATTGTGTTACTTTTAAATGCATATAAAGGGTTTCTACACATAAGATGACTAGAGTAGAGCTGGATATGGTACTCATGCCTATAATCCTAGCTACTCAGGATGCAGAGATCAAAAGGATCAGTTCAAAGCCAATCCAGACAGAAAGTTCACTGGAACTCATCTCATCCAATAAAAGTTACCCATGGTGACTTGTCATCCCAGCTGTGAAAGAAGTACAAATAGGCTGGCCCAGGCATAAACACAACTCTATTTAATAGAGAAATAACTAAAGCAAAAGGGGCTGGGGTGTGGCTAAGGTGGTAGAGCACCTGCCTAGCAAGCACAAAACTGAATTCAAACCCTGCCCCCCCATGACTAGAGCTAGAATCCTCAATCCAGCTATTATCTAATATCAAATATACTATGTGCCAACTTATAAAGATACACCAATAAACATGGTAAAACTCATTAAATTGGGCCTCAGATGCTATATATTAAGGGATTTGTTTTGTTTGCTTGCTTGTTTTCTTGCCATGCTGGTGATTGAACACAGGCCCTTGTACATGCTATGCAAGCGCTCTACCCCTGAGTTATATCTTCAGTTCTTTGTTGTATCTTAAAAAACATGTCTACAAGCTAATTCTTGGAGACATAAATAAATGAGAAGCTTACTTAATATCATTTAGAACTAATTTGTTAATTTCTGATAAAACTTTGTAGTTGTCTCAAATTTGTGGAAGGTAAATACAATATATAGTACCTGCAGTCACCAACAGTAGGGCTTTTTCTTAAAGATGTCACCTATATCCAAATGGCAGTTTCTCTGGGACTCATTGCCATCTCCTACTCCATTTCCTCATACATATGGCCTACAAAAATTATTTTTAGTATTGATCCCATTATTAAAAAAAAGGATTTGAATGCTGTGGCCATAGTTATGCTGATATATTTGAGTATCATTTATATATATTGGGGCATATTTTGATTGATATATTCAGATGCCAGTTGATCCAAGGGGTAAATATCTATTACCTTTTGACATACCAGATTCTTACCAAATATAAGAATAAAACATTCATTAAGTTTTTATAGTCACCTGAAATGATACTCCATATGAAAGGCCCACAGAAAAAATATAATCAATAATAATAGAATTTTTTTTCCTTTGTGTATCATTCTTCTCCTGGGAGGAAAAAGAAACCGATGAAAATAGATTAAATAGAATACAATGCATACAGAGCCAGCTGTGGGAAATCCAGCCTCTCTGTGATTTAAAGTAGATGATTTAATAGACATTGACTAGCAATTAAGGAACTGCTGATTTTTGAATGTCTACATGAAAACAGAGCCGAGTCAGTGGATACACTTGGGTTGTTTCTTAGAACACCTGCTTTTCTAAAAAAGTCTTAGAACATTAGCTGGTCTGAGCTGGACTTAATGCAAAAGAGCTTATAACCTTCATCTGTGTTTTCTAAATTACAAAGGGCTTTATCTACAGAAAAGAAATGTAAAAATTCCACTTCCCAGACAAACTTCATGGGGTGGAGTGTCAGTTAAAATGGATACTTAGGAAAATACTTACCTGGACTCTGAAGAGTTGCAAACTTATGAAGGGGGTTAGTTATTTTTCATCACACAGCATTATGTAGGTGATTACTCCAGGAAAGGTAAGAAGACTGATACAGTAGCATAGAACATACGACCCTTCTCAAAAGTAATTGAATATAAAATAGATTCAGAGCACTGGCTGGAGGCTCAACTATAATTTTTAGGTTATCTTGGCATTGAACTTGGATTTTTAGCCATCAAGGTTATGAAACTCCTTTAGGTTGTTTAATCCACCCAATACAAAATTATCTGTGCTCAGAGAAAGAACTTGTTGTTGCTCAGCTTGGTAGAAATTAAGAACAGTCTCTTACCTATTGTTTTTCTCAGATCATGTAGGAGTTTTATACAGATTCTTCATGGAAACTCTAAACATTTATAATAGTTTGAGAAGATATATGGAGAATTTAAGAGGGCAAACAGTTTTGAAATCTTTGGGAAATACTTCAGTGTATTGGTTCTATGGCCCTGTCAAGTAAAAGGTGTGTTTATTATTTCAGTCTTCTATGAATGATGTCATCAGATTCTTTTGATGATGAAATAATTAGATCATGGTGATCATAACAATTTGTATGTCAGTAGTTTCTTTTTCATTACCAGAGGATTAGATTATGTCCTGTTTTTTTAAAAATGAAAGATCTTTTAAGCTCTCTTGGGGGGTATTTTTAAGCTTTATAATAGAATAAATTTTTAATTGAGGTATAATTTACATGAAATCAAACATGTAATTTAAGTGTACATTTCATTGTGCTTGTTATACATGTAGACGTGTGTGTAACAACCACCTTAGTTTTGATATAAAGTACATCTGTAGGGCCGCAGTAAGTTTCCTTGTGCCCCGTTGAGTTAATACTCTCTTCTATCAGGGAAACCAATGAATAAGAATTCAAAAATGATAAACAAGGACTGACTTTAAAGCAGCTATTATGAAAATATTTAAGGATTTAATAGAAAATGTGGTCAAAATGAATGAACAAGTAGGAATTCTTAACCAAACAATGAAAGTTACAAAAATGATGACCATTCTTGAACAGTAAGAGTGTATATTTGAGAGCTGGATATGGTGTTACTTGGGAGGCTGAGGCAGGAGAGTTGTGAGTTTAAGGCCACCCTGGGTTTCATAGTGAGACCCTGTCTCAGCAACAAATACATATATATCTGAAATTAATATGCTACTAGATGGTCTTACCAATAAATTGGACTCTGAACAATAAAAGGTTGGTGAAATGAAATATAAGTCAATGTGAATCACCTTATATGAAAAGAGAAGAAAGTGGTTGGTAAAACAAACAGAACCTCAGTGACCTATGAGACAGTATCAACCAGCCTAACATGTATATGACTGAATTCTCAGAAATACAGAAAAGAGAAAATGGAGGAGAAAAATTTAAAGAAATTATAGCCAAAATTTTCCCAAATTTAATTTTAAAAAGAATTATACAATAACAGATTCAAGAAGCTTAACAAATCTATAGAAATAAGAGCAAAATAGTTCCTGCTGGGTATTGGGGGGGGAAGAGGGAGGGGGCGGAGTGGGTGGTAAGGGAGGGGGTGGGGGCAGTGGGGAGAAATGAACCAATCCTTGTATGCACATATGAATAATAAAAGAAAAATGAAAAAAAAAATAAAGATCAGGTTATACTCTAGAAACAGGATAAAAAAAAAAAAGAAGCTTAACAAATCTAAGCAATAAAAATACAAGAAAACCACAGCTAAGGAATCAAGAGGAGATTGTTGTATTTCATGCCAGTCATTCTCAAACTTCACAGCATACTCAAATCATTGGGACTTAAAAATCCCAATATCCCGGTTTGGCCCTGTGCTAATTGAATAGGAATCTTTGGGGTGAGACCCATGTGCAAATATTAGCAGTCCAGGGAATTCCAGAGTACAGCCAAGTTTGAGAACTAGTGCTTTATGCATAACTCCATAAGCTTCTCTGGATTTTGGAGTCAGTGTGCCACCCATGTAAACATCCAGTTCCTCCCTTTTACCTGATAAATGTAAAAGCAGTGACTTCTAGTAGAACCCTGAACAACAGAAAATTCTTCAACTGGTCCAGGTCTTAGGCAAATTACCTTGCCAGTGGACACTTATGACTTGTCAGATTCTACATAGTTCTGCGGGTCTAAATTAGACTGCAATGGTGGATGAAAACCCTAGCTAGCCTTGACAGAAAACTTGCAGCAGAGGCCACTGAATTCCAGAGCAAGGGAACGTCCTTTAGTGTGTGTCGTGCTGTTACAACAAAATACCAGAGGCTGGATCCTTTTTTTTTTTTTTTAAAAAGATTTATTTAGAGCCCAGTCCTGAAAGTTCAAGAGCATAGCACTAGTATCTGATGCTCAGCTTCTGGTGAGGGCCTCCTGGCAGTTCAACTCAGAACCGTAAGTCAGAAAGGGGACATGGGTTTGTGCACAAGACCATGTGTGTAAGAGAGACCAAGGGGAGAAGTCAGGTTATTTTGTGACAACCCACCCCTATAGCAACCAATCCAGTCCCACAAGCACAAGAACTCACTCCTCAAAGAAAAGAATTAATCCTTCTTAAAGTCCCTGCACCCCTTGACACTGTTACATTGAGGACCAAGCCTCAACCTGAGTTTTGGTGGTGATAAGCCACATTCAATCCATAGCACCCTTTGAGCAGATCATTATCATTTCCCTCTTAAATAGATGTCATTATAGTTTTTCCCTCTGTTTTCCTTTTCTCTCTCATTGACTATAGTATGTTTGGGTATGCACTAAGTTTACCATTTATTTCACAGATTGCTGAACAGTCAGATGAGCTGTCTGCAGGATCAAAATACATGGTTATTATCTGGGTGCTCTAGGAAACCTGGCCCTATGACTCTTTCTGTGGATTCATTGGCCTGCTGTTAGGAGAAGGCTGTGCTGAAGTGGCACAGTGCACTTTTGGATCCTGATGGGAGAGGGTATTTTAGATGTGTGGGAAGAGGTGGTTTATGGCCAGAAGTGAAAGATAAGTGGGAAGTGGTAGATCCTTTTAAATGTTGGATCCCCAATCACATAGACTTGCCTGAGAGCTACCCAGCTAGTGAACCCACTCTAGAGCACAGCTGTTGGGAGCAGGAAAGGATGCTGTGCTATGTGGGTTTTCTGTCCTAGGAATTTAGCTTGGAAGGATGGAGCCTGATAGTCGAGATAGGTTTGTAATTTCAGCTGTTGAAGGTCCTGAGCTTCCCTGATTCTTGTTCATGGTCTTAGTATAGAGATGCAATTGTAAATTTCCATCATCTGATAAAAAATAAAGAATAAAGGGAAGGGCCAGGTGCCAGTGGCTCAGGCCTATAATCCTAGCTATTCAGGAGGCAGAGATCAGGAGAATCATGGTTCAAAGCCAGCCCAGGCAAATAATTCGCGAGACCCTATATTGAAAAAACCCATCACGAAAAAGGGCTGCTGGAGTAACTCAGGGTGTAGGCCTGAGTTCAAATCCCAGTACCAGAAAAAAAAAAAAAGAATAAAGAAAAGAGAGAGGAAGGGAGGGACAGAGAGAACGGAAAGCCTGCCAGGGTTCTAATGGTTGCTGATTTTCATGTGTAATTTCTCTCAACATGCCTATTTCCAGCTACCACAATCATGTTACTGAACACAGTGGGGAAAAACTGTGTATAAGTAGCTCTCGCAAAGCAGAATGAGCCAGCTTCAGCAGACTTCTGCTTTTCAAATCTCCTTTGTCTTCATTGGAACTTTCCAGTATCCTTCCAATAAGCTCCTTTTGGGGTTTAAACAGATCAAACCTGTTTCGGTTCCTTGCAACCGAAATATCTTTAACCAAAACCCTAAGCTCCTATTATTTTGAAGTTATAGAAATTCACTAAAAATACATTCCAACTTTGGCTGATTTTTTAAAAGCATTTGTAGCCATTTTCATTTATATACAGGATTAATACTTATTTCTACAAAAGCGCAGTCTTCACCAGCCCCAGAATGTTCTTAATCACGGTAGCTGCTTAGCACAACTAAGTTATTGTTGTAAATTCCTGCCCTCTAGCGTCCAGTATGGGAATTTCTTTTGTCTTAGCTGTGAATTTTAATGGGGGTGCGCTGGAGTCTCCCAATGTCTCTGAAGGTCCTATTCCCAGGGTTCAGACAGAGGTACGGTGCATACTTGTCTCCCCAATGTTTCTTTCTTTCTTTCTTTTTTATATTTTTAGTCTTTATTTGTGTGCCTTATTCTCCATTCTCTGCCCAAAAAGATCTGACCAAGACTGTCATTGAGAAACAACTTACTAGCTTCCTTTTTAGAGGGGAAGAGTAGATCCTCAGGGATTGAATGATTGCTAGCACCTCAAGAGGACAGGTGAAATAAGATAGGGTCAAAGAACATAGTACATACCAGAACAACACTTAGAATAAAAATATGGGTTTAATGGGATTGAACTTTGAGCACATGATAAAAGCGAGAGCACACAAGGGAGGGGTGAGGATAGGTAAGACACCTAAAAAAATTAGCTAGCATTTGTTGTCCTTAACACAGAGAAACTAAAGCAGATACCTTAAAAGCAACTGAGGCCAATAGGAGAAGGGGAACAGGTACTAGAGAAAAGGTTAGATCAAAAAGAATTAACCTAGAAGGTAACACCCACGCACAGGAAATCAATGTGAATCAACTCCCTGTATAGCTATCCTTATCTCAACCAGCAAAAACCCTTTTTCCTTCCTATTATTGCTTATACTCTCTCTACAACAAAATTAGAGATAAGGGCAAAATAGTTTCTGCTGGGTATTGAGGGGGTGGGGGGGAGAAGAAGGGGGCGGAGTGGGTGGTAAGGGAGGGGGTGGGGGCAGGGGGAGAAATGACCCAAGCCTTGTATGCACATATGAATAAAAAAAAAATCTGTCACCTCCCTGCTATGCCAATCATCTGTTATCTGTAAGGTGGGATAACAATATATTCTATTCCTTTCCTAGAGCCCAATGTTTCTTTCTTAATGAAGCACAAGAGAACTTAACACCAAAGTTTCTCAACCTTGGAACTAAGGACATTTTGAGTCAGGTATTTCTTTGTTGAGGGGCTGCCCTGTGCATTGTAAGTTGTTGAGTGACATCCCTTTGCCTCTACCCACTGGATGCCTGTAGTCCACATACACGCACGTTATGACAAACAAAAATGCCTCCAAACACTGGCATTGCTAAATGTCCCAAGGATGGGGCAAGCAGGAATGCAATTCCCAAGCTGAGAACCAATGTTCTATGCTGATGAAGCAAATGTATACCACAAATTACTGCCCCTGAAGAAGCACCAAACCCTATAGCTTATGGCACTTAGGTTGGAGCCTAAGCCTGAAACCAAGTTCCCATATTACATATCACAGGAGGAAAGGTTCCAGGTGCCAGACATAAACCTATTCGCTTTTTAAATAGGACAACAGTCAAAAATCAAAAATTAACCTTCTTAAAGAAAAACATTTCTTATGAGGCATGATGGGAGTGAATGCTAATGCATTCATTCACTTGTTTGGTAAATATTTGTTAAGTAGTGCCTCTGAGATAGGTGACATAATAGATGCTGGAGCCAATGCAAAAGCAGATGACAGTCCTGCCTTTGAGGAACTGACAGTCCTCAAAAATTTTTTCAGTTTCAAGTAAGAGAAAGCTTAATTCCAACTGGCTTAAACAATAATGAACTTGTCTGGCTCACACACTTGTAAAGCACACAGCAGGGCAGACCTTAGGTAGAGCTGGGTCCTCTTAAGGTTGTCACCACTAGGTTTCCTTCAGGGTCTCTGCTCTTCCTTCCCTATTGTCAGTTTCATGTTAAGGCTAACCTCCCTCATCTAGAGCTCCCAGAATGATAACCTTCCTTATTTCTAGTAAAACACCTGAAACTCACTTTGTATGGCCTAGTGTAGGTCACCTGCCCACCCCTGAATCAATCATTACCACCAGGAGGATGGAAGATGCCAATGAACTTCGCCTAAATCACTTGCTCCAATCATGGCACCAGTTTCCAGAAAACGCACAGATTTCCTAAAGGAGACCAGATTGCTGGAATAGGGGAGAGAGCCACATATCCTGGGCGAATGTGGGGCAGCCAACCAGAGCCTCAAGTGGTCTTTGCTTCTTTTCACACAGGTTCTTCCAGGTGATTTCATCCAGTCCAAAGCCACAGTACTATTTTTGTGGGTTTCTGTGAAGTCTTTTTTTTTGCAGTACTGGGGTTTGAATTCAGGGCCTACACCTTCAGCCACTCCACCAGACCTTTTTTTGGTGGGGAGAGATGGGTTTTTACAAGATAGGGTCTTGTGAACTATTTGCCCGGCTGGCTTCAAACCATGATTCTCCTGATCTCTGCCTCCGGAGTAGCTAGGATTACAGGCTTGAGCCACCGGCCCCTGGTTTGTGTAAAGTCTTATTGTAGCCTTCTGTGCTGCACACTTGCTGATGCTCCCTCTAAGCCCTCACTCCACCCAACTTCACAGTGATCCCTTCTCTTTTTTCAAAGCTCAGTTGAGAGGCAGGGCTATTTCCACTTCCCCAGACATCCTTTCTCCCTCCATACTCCCTTAGCCATGTACTTACCTATATTTTGTACCTGCTCAGGATCACGGTCCTGCTTCTCCAGCTGTAGGCCAATACCCTTACTCTGAAGCGTTTTCAGGCTGCTCAATTCTTTCTCTGTAACGCCTATCAAAGGAATTGAGAACTTTTGATGCTTACTCCTTCTGTGTCCCCAGATTTCAAAACTAAAATGGTCAAAGTGTGTGTGACAGAGAATGAAAGCAGCAGCCTAAACTCTAAAAGAGCACAGGATTTAGAGTTAGACAGTTGTGGGTTTAAATCCTAGCTCTATACCTTTTCAGATCTGAAGTGTGTTATACGTTCATTCGTTCTATGACTTTTCATGCTTGTGAATATGCTATTATGTCTATGTCATTCACTTATATGGAGCACATTTAATAAATAGCACTCTTAATAAATACTTGTATTGCCAAAGCTGAGGTTCCCATATGGTGGTGACTTTGGCTAGGAGAGATCAAATATGAGTCATTCCAAGAAGGACAAAAATCCAAGCAGGGTGATTTGTGCTTATAATCCCAGCTCTTGGGGAGTACAGGCAGGATGATCATGAATTCAAGGCCAGCCTGGGCTGCATATAGAGACCCTATCCCAAAATTGAAAAATTTAAAAAAGAACAACAAAGAGAAGTCCTTCAGACCTTGAACAAACATTTTCCCTTCCAGCTTCATGTGGTTCCCAGATTCAAAGTAAAGTGGAGGTAGATGTGACTGTCTATCCACCTACCCCCTTGCCTGGTCATGCTTTCCAAGATACTGCTTGTAAGGACTGAGCATGGTGGTACGTGCTTGTAATCTCAGCTATGCAAAAAGCCAAGGCCAGTCAGGCAAAAAGGACAAGACCCTCTCTGAAAAGTAACTAGAGCAAAAAGGGGCAGGGCTCAAGTGTACAGCACATAATCGTTTTTTAAAAAACAGCGAGTACATTGAAACCTATTTAATGCATTAGAAGTGGGAGGTGCGAAGATAATCTAGTTTTTACAATATTCATTCCTATGGCAAAAATTCTCTCTTATAAGGTTCTTCTACAGCTTACCTTTTCCCTGACATGAAACATGGCCCTGATATGTACTATGTCGGCATATTTATCCTTGTGGGGTGCTTGGTTTGAGTCTCAGGTCAGCTGTTTACCAACTGAGTTGCTTAGTTTTTCAGAACCTCACATTCTTTTATAAAAATGGGACTGACTTTCTAATACTCATGCCCTGCTGAATTTTAGCTCTACTCTTTCAGATCTGAGACTTTGACTAAGGGATCCCTACTTACCCCTGTTTAAATATATGTTAAGTGTGTCATACCTTCAGTGCATCTCACTACATTAGCTTGGTTACCTTTAATTTTTATATTATATACTTACCCAGACTTGCTGTAAAAAAGCCAAGCCATTCCCTTCAGCCAGATAAATTCTCCAGATGTTAGGACTAATAATTCCCAGGTATGGTCACAGCATTGCTTTCTTTCTCCCTCTGCCGTGCTGCCCCACCTTGGGCTTTGAGGGAAGCCTTTCCCTGTTGGTTCTTCCACTGGCTGTTAATTATCTCAGTACATTATTTTGGGAAAGTCAATATAAGAATTTATTGTTTTAAAAACTCGGGTATGAACCACAAGTCTGTCCTTTGTAGTACTGTCTTTGAAATAGGACACACATCTTTCAGAAAGGCATGAGGAATTTTCTGAGTCCAAGAAACTAAAATTCTGTAATTGACAATTCTGAACATCTTTGGGAAAAAATGCATAATCCATGACTAGACAGGAATATTCTGAGAAAATAATTTATTCAATTTTAAATGAGAAATTTTCAAAAAGTTTAAGTATGACCATTAATGAGGCCCTGAATTTGCTCATTGATTACTTAAATTTAAATGAATTTTTAAAAATCAAGAAATTCTCTCAAAATTCCTTCAGCCTGTTCTCTAAACTTCCAAGATAGGTCATTTGTTTTGTTCAGGACTTGAACTATGAAGTCTCTACTCTAGACTAGATCCAAAACAACCTGAATAACAGAAAAGCAGGATTCTAAACTGATGTGTGGTCTCCATTTTCTTTAAGCCCACTAATTCATGGTTGTTGTTTTTTGTTGGAGATGTGATTTTATTTATTTATTTATTTGGCAACAATTGAAGAGTAGGAGGCACAGTGAAATGGTACAGAAAATGCATGTTTCATTTTTATCAAGCCTTTTGCACTATATATCAAGCCAGTGCAATGGCTCATCAAATAAATTGCTTGAAAATGAAAACAAATGACCTAAACTGGAACACAAGCAAAATATAAATATATGCGCCTAGTGTAAATGCTGCCTACCAACTTACTTTACATTGATTTGCTTATCTTATAATATATAGGCTGTCACTGCTTCTCTTAGAGAAGGGAACTGAATGCTTAGTTGCTCAGTCATGATGACTGGATCTCTCATTGCTATCTTGTCATGTTTTTGTTATAAAATCAATTAACTGTTTTTCAAATACATCTGGTTGTTACATTCCTGTTAGTGTATATGGAGCAGGAGAAAACAGGTCACTTGATGAGAAGGCATTTTCTCCAGTCTACTCCTTGATGTCAGCCTTTCAATTGGGACATGATGGGCTGAAGGACCCTGAGGTTTAGTGCAGGTGGAGAGACCAGCTGGTGGCAGATTGTCCTCTGATGAAGCCCAGGTCCTTGCAGGTCTTTCCAGTCCACAGTGGGCCTTTCCCTTCTCTGACGCCATCTTCTTCCCCTCACAAAGGTGCTGAACACAAGTCTGGTGGACTGAATATGACTTGGGCAAAACAAGAAGTACCTTCCATTCAAATCCGTGCTCTATTAGACATGGGGTTTAGGAGGCTGGAAACCACCCACATTGCCTCCTATTCATTGCTTGTATCTGTGATGTAATTTAAGCACCAACTCCATGCCCTGTGTCCCTCCAGAGTGACACAGCCCCACAGTGGTCAGCCCTTCTTACTCTTTCTTTGCTATTTCATGGCAAACTCAATGTTGAGGATTTGTTTTCATTTCAAGCTGAGCACCCACTGGGTCCCAGATTCCCAGGGACTCTGAACATGCACCACCAAGATATCCATTGAGAATCTCCATCTTTTGCACAAAAGTCAGACAACACCCTGATAAGAAAAGGACACGGACTCTAAATGGCTTGAAATAATCAGCTTTGAAGCTTCTGGGGATTGGCAAGGTAGATGATGTCCTTACTACGAGTTCTCCTACCACAAAGCAACTCTATGTTGCTTTGAGTCCATCAAAACTGGGAAGTCATCAACATCAAGGGGACAACCCCCACCCACAGCCATATCTTGTTGCCAAGCACTTTTCTTACCACCCTATTCTCCAGTTCTGTCACCTGACACAAGTTAAGTGTTCTAGTTTTTTCTTTGCCTATGGCAAGTAGTTCTTTTTGGTTTGGCTGATATATTTCCTCCAAACCCAGAATAGATAAGAAATCACTGGGAATTTACATGTGATTATCATACATTCATTCCCATGTATTACAAGGCTCAAAGTTACAAGGAGAATAATATGTTTTTGCCATGTTGGTGTTTTGTTAGTAATTTTTAAAGTTAAAATTAGGGCTGGAGGCGTGATTCAAGTGGTAGAGCGCCTGCCTAGCAAGTGCAAAGCCCTGAGTTCAAACCCAGTACAAGAAAAAGTTAAAATAAGTCAGACATTATTCCTCACCAAATTATACTCTTTTGTTTGCCAAGCTATCTTGACAATTTTAATATCTGTAGGCATACCTATATGATAATCCCAGCAGTATTCTGGGGATAAGATTTTAGTAGGTTTGTTGAGAAAGAAATACTTGTTTAGGTGGCTTTCATCATGCCACTCAGCTTCTATGTCATTTTCCTTGTCCTGGAGGATTCCCTTAAAGCACTCCTGGGTGAGGTTGAGAACCTGAATGGGTGTTCCTCCAAAAATGGCTGCATGATAATAAAAATCCCCTTGTCCAAATGGAATGTATGCTGCAGACTCTTCCCGCCTCTCATAGGTAAACTCATAAGGATCTGCCTTATACCACCACGCCTGTAACTGAGCCACTGACTGGCCCAGAGTTTCCACGCCAAAATTGTCTTGAAAGATCTGGTCGACATCCATGCAGAAGAGGAAGTCAACTTCATGCTGGATGTGGGCCAAAATGTGCTCCCCGATGGTCTTCATGCGCATCATGCTGATGTCTTGCCACCTCTTCTCAGACTTGATCTCAAACACTTTGAAGGAACGCAGAGGATCCAGCTCTATCGAAGGCATCCTGGAGACATCATCCATCATGATGTAAAATATGACTTTGTGGCCAACCATAAAATATGTATTAGCAGATGTTAAGAACTCTTCCAAGTAATGCTCAATGTATCTGAAACAAAGAAAGAAATACATTTAACCTTTGGATTCTTGCAGGAAACCACACGCTACTATAATCAAATTGTCTATAGTACATGTTCAGGAGAGCGATTTCTCCCCACTCCAGATGTGTGTTTTCATGTGGATGGCCATCTGACCCGGATCCCTCCGCCAGTCAGTCAAGTCACCCAGTCCTTGGGAAGTGGAATGATTTAATCTAACTGCCAATTTTGGAAAAGCAACTGGACATGCATTGCCCTAACTTCTTGCTCTGGGAAGTCAGCCAGTCTGAGAAAGTATGTGTTCTCAACTGCTGTGCTTTGCAGTAAGTTTAGTGGTACAGCTCTATTACCATTTCTGGAGGCCTGAAGTTTCTAATATTGTAGGTGTCCTTCTACAGTTAGGAGGGCCCAGGGCCAACAGATTCAATGGCAGCTTTAATTGTAATGAAGGTGATATTTACTATCATCTGCTTTATTATTTATTTATTTATTTATTTATTTTTGGCTCTGAAAAGAGCCGTTGGATGCGATTGGAACGTCGAGGCGAGCACGAACGCAGTTAAGCCCTCTCCCCACGGATGCGGCGGGCCAGCTGGATGTCCTTGGGCATGATGGTCACGCGCTTGGCGTGGATGGCGCACAGGTTCGTGTCCTCGAACAGGCCCACCAGGTAGGCCTCGCTCGCCTCCTGCAGCGCCATTACGGCCGAGCTCTGGAAGCGCAGGTCCGTCCTGAAGTCCTGCGCGATCTCGCGCACCAGCCGCTGGAACGGCAGCTTGCGGATCAGCAGCTCGGTGGACTTCTGGTAGCGCCGGATCTCGCGCAGGGCCACGGTGCCCGGCCGGTGGCGGTGCGGCTTCTTCACGCCACCCGTGGCCGGCGCGCTCTTGCGAGCCGCCTTTGTGGCCAGCTGTTTGCGCGGGGCCTTGCCGCCAGTGGACTTGCGAGCGGTCTGCTTGGTGCGGGCCATAGCAAAACAAAACCACCTACTCAGCGGCGACGCTGTGCGAGCAGCTGTCATCTGCTTTATTTACACTTTTGTCTCATCTATCGATTGGTTTAGACTTTGGGGAGCTAAAGAGATTACTAGTTTTTGAACCTCAAAAGCCCCAACCTACACCCCAGTGTTGCTACTGTCAGACCAGATGTAAAGGTGATTTGACCCTTGAGAACATTGGGGATGCATAATCCCAATCTCATCCACCTCTGTGTTTGGTTAAGCCCAACCATCAGCACTGTCTCTTCCCCCTCTTTGACAACAGAGAATGGAGCATGGGACATGGAACTCCCTCCATGTTGCATGGTCATCCTGCAAGCTTCCTACTGGTCACCCCAAATGCCAATCCATTGTCCAGACACTGTCATTATAAGTCCATCCAAATGCCACCTCTGATTTCACCATATTTTAACTATTTTTGTCCTTGAAAAAAACAAAGATTTTTTTAAAGAACAATTTGAGGTTCACAGCACAATAGTACTTTCAAAAGTATTGAGAGTTCCCATATGCCTCCTGACTGCACATATGCACTTCCCCACTATTAATATCTCTGAGCCAGAGTGGCAGGTCTGTTATAATCAACAAACTTACACTGTTACACCATAGTCCCTAAAGTCCCTAGTTTACCTTAGGGTTTCTATTGTGTGTTGTACGTTCTATGGGTTATAGGAAATATCTATTTATATGTATCCACCATTATAGTATCATTCAGAATAGTTTCACTGCCCTAAAAATCCCGTGTGTTCTTTTTCCCTCTCTCTTTCCCACCCCTAGCTCCTCATACTCACTAATTTTTTTTATTGGCTCCATAATTTTGCCTTTTTCAGAATGCCATAGAGTTAGAAGTACATGGAATGTAGCCTTTTCAGATTGGCTTCTTTTTCACTTAGTAATCTATGTTTAAGATTCCTCCATGTCTTTTCATGGCTTGATAGCTCATTTCCTTTTAGTACTAAATAATATATTATTGTCTGAATATACCATATTTTACTTTTCCATTCGCCTGTCAAGGGATAACTGGATTGCTTCCAAGTTTTGACAATTATGAATAAAGCTTCTAAAATATCTGTATGCAGGTTTTTGTGTACATAAAAGTTTTCAATTCATTTTGGTAAGTACCAAGGGGTGTGATTGCTAGGTTATAAGAATGTGTTTAGTTTTGTAAGAAGCTGCCAAACTTCTTTCAAAGTAGCTGTACTATTTTTCATTCCTACCATCAATGCACAAGGGTTCCTATTTTTTCACTTCTTTGCCAACATTTGGCATTGTTAGGGGGTTTTTTTTTTTTTTTTAATTTTGACCACTCTAACAGGTATCTAGTGGTGTTTTAACTATTTACTCATTCAAAGAACAATATATTGCTGTCTTCTATAAGCTCAGGTTACAGATTGTCTTGTGAAGCCATGCCATACTATTAAGATGGAGGATGAAGTCAGATAGCTTAATACAACTCATCCAAGCCTAAAACTCTTACACAGTGAATGTGAACTCGTTTAATCTGCTAAGCACACTACCAGGCAGACATGTTTTGGAAGGAAGAGTGACTATTACCTTTTTGTTTTTCTTGCTGCTTAGATTGATTTCCTCTCTTTTCTATAAAAATAAATTGTGCCTTGATTGTTGCCATCTACAAACTGAAGAGTTTATAGTATTGATTGTTTAGATGGAGAGAATATGTCTGAGCAATACAAAGAGAGACATCAGCATGGCTCTGTGGCTGGTGGCCAGGACATTTTTCTGTACTTTGGAACTTAAAGTGTGTCCTGAAGCTTGGGAAACAACACTGGGGTGGGGATGGGATATCACTGTAAGGTTTAACATTTTTCAGAGATTACAGCACTGTATTTGGCTCAGTGCATTATTTGAAAATAAACCAAATGTCACCCCCCTTAAAAGTCCAAGTCCACTGTGGGGATTTATTGCCTTAGAGCTGAGAGCATAGAGCTTTCATCAAGATGTACAATTTATAGTTTGATTCTGCAGAGTTGCAACTGGATGGCTGATGCCATTGTTAGCAAGTGGGCAATGTTCCATTCCTTTTGGAAAAACACCAGGATCAAATCTATCTTTGATGTGGCTGGCCTGTCCCCTTTTGTGCCAAAAGATTAGGTGAATTGAGCCTTGGCTCCCATCCCAAAACAGTATAGATTCTTCTAAGTAAAAATGTCAAAATTCCACACTCGTCTTTCTCTACTGGAGATACTAATAGGCCTTGGGGATCAGCATAGCAGCAACATTACAACTTGATCCACGCTGCCGATGTATAAGGCAGGGGAATTAACTTTCTGTGTGGCTCTTTCAGAAGAATTACAGATGGAAAGGCCCAGAGAGCAGAAAATTGACTTTCAGTTTTATTTTGAACAAAAAAATTAATTCTCTAAGAAAAAATAGGTTATACTGTAAAACTAAACCAAACTTTCAAGTAACAGTGCTCTGAACTAGAATGTGGAAGCTGGAACTGGAGAAACCTGTTTAACCAAAATCTCCTGGGCCAAATCCCCCATGACAGTCAGGTAGAAGTGACCTGAGGAATCCGTGGAAGAGTGGACAGCCATCTCCAACATGGAAAAATACCGTGCATAGGTTACTCTGCACCTATAGCTGCTGCAAACCCTTCTGTCCTTGGTCCTGGGCCTTGAGAGCATAGAAGAAAAATGATGCACATTTGGTTCATCTAGCAGCTGGCACTTTGGGAACACCCAAAGAAAGCCATGGAGGCCAGGGAGGAGGTGGTTGCAAGGGCACTGCTGACTCTGGGCTCCATGGGTGTTGCAGACATTTTTGTCCTAAACCCAAGATCCTCTCTCTGAGGTGAGAATGAGAGGACTGACTTCTTATTGCCTTTTTGGGACCTAAGCAGAAAGGAGACTGAAGCGGTCTATTTAATATTCTCCTATGATTCAGATGAATAAATAAATAGCCTCTGTGAAGCCAAGGGTCCCCTCACAGCTGTTGTGATGATGGAACGAGAAAAAATGAAGGATAACTTTGACAGCAACACCTACCTTCCAACAGCAAAAACTGTCAACCCCACGGTGATTTTCCGTTTGGCATAATACTTCTCCAGGATAGCTCTGTTATAAGTGCCTTCCCACACAACTGGAGCATTCCAACGGGTCACTGTCACAACCCCTGGGCGGTTCCTGGTGATAAAGCACACAGCCGCATGAGTCAGGACACTCTGCTAAGGTGGGGCAGACTGTTCAATAAAAAATAATAATAAAAAAAAAGGGCCAGCTAGATCCACATGACTGTTCTTGAATCCTAACTGTAGCTTAACCCCAGTACTTGAATGGGAGATGGGTCATCATTTGGGGCAGCATCTGACATCCTGGGAGGCTTTCCAGAGTCTTACTTTGCATTATCATGCATTCTTCTTTTCCTTCTTTTATCTCCTTTCTCCTGCTTTCTTTGTTCTCCTACTTCAAAATCCTTTTCCCTTTCTTCTCAGCCCATAAACTACCAATGGCATCTTTGGGTTGTTATTTATTCCTGTAGGAGTCATCTGAGCCTAAGAAGACCCTAATCCTTGATGCAGGGGGATGAGAGAATGACACAAGAGCTGAGGGAGAAAAAAATCTGTTTCAGTTTGCTTTTGGCCAGAAAGAGATTTCTGGGTAGGAACCTGTTTATTGGCCAAAAAGGTCCTCAGACTAAGGGGATTCTGGTGTTACCATTCATTTTACAAAGAAGGACACAGAAACACTCAGAAAGAAAGGGACTTGACAGAGAGTCAGCAAACCAAGATTGGAACACAGGGCTCTGGCAAAGACCCCCTCCTTAGACCACATTGCCTTTTTACTAGGAACACAAAGGGAGTAAGAAGCAGGTATGTTTTCTTCACTCAGAAAGCTTGAAAGGGACTTGGCAAAGCCAACACAAAGACAGGAAGCCACCCAAGAGCAATGACAAGGCATGAGACTGTAACAGGTAAATGGAGAAAGGACAGAGCAGCAGCAGGGCCTGGCAGGGATAGAGCTCCAGGCCAGAGGGGATGGTAGGGACTCAACTTGCACCCTAATTTGACTTTCAGGCCCTTGTTTAATCTCCATGTCCACCCTATGAAGTATTATCATCATTCATTTTACAAATAAAGTGAGGCCAGGAAAGAAGAAAGGGACTGAGCTGCTGGATGTTTCATTCCTATGAAGAATGAAGAATGAAGAATGAAGCTCCGTGCTGAGAAGAACGAGGCAGTGCTACCTCTTGAGAACCTGGGAGGTCAACCTGCACCACACTCCTCAGCTGCAGCCACTCAGGTCACATCTTCTAGAAAGATCAAGTAACAAAAAAACCAGTGTCCAGTTTGGTTACTTAGATGAGAAGGGGTCCTTTGAGCAGGAAGAAAAAAGTAGCAGTATTAAAAATTAATGTTGAATTAAAAATTAAAATGTTCTATTTCCCAGCAGTTAATTATTCAATTTCACAGACAATTCCAACATGTCACGAACCTTGCCTGGAAATGCAGGCTGTGGGGAGGAGGGGAAGGAGGAGGAGAGAATGAGGTTGAGATTTACTTCCTGGATGAACCTAGGCATCAGGAATCTTAGTCATCAAAACTCAAAAAAAGAAGTGACCGAGGGCAATCCACACATGTGCAAACGCTCATCTTAGACAATGTCAACTGCCAGAGATATTCGAGATCACCAGGATGGGGCTCTGAAAGGAGGAAAAAGTGCCAGGAAAGACTGTTGAAAGGCCTTCCCAACAGGGCACTCAACTGTGTGACCGCAGGGTACCAGTTCCAACAGTACAGGCCGAAGCTTCCTGAAAAATAATGGGGCTTCTGTAACCAAAGCACACATGCCCCTAGGTTATTGGTCACTTTTTAATTTTATGACTTTATTCATGGGTACATTGTGGTACCCAAGAGCTGGCTAGAGGAAGTATTAAAATTCTATGAATCACTCAGTAGGTTTAAACAAAAGCTGTGGAATGCACATCACTCATTAAGCTGCAGCATGCTAGACAGTGATTCAGCAAAAAGCATGAACAGGGATGATGGCAGGGGAGTGGAGAAAGGAAGGATGTGGGAAGGATTTGGGAGCAAGAATTGACAGAACGTGCTAATGGATCAGACTGTAGGCAGACAAAATAAAAGGTCTCCCAGACTCTGGCTTGAGCACTTTGCTGAAATGAGAAATGAGAAGACAAGGGAGGGGTGGAATTGATAAATCCATTTGGGTCATATGAGATGTGCAGAGGTGTCAAGCAGGCAAGTAGATTCAAGTAAGGGCTCAGAGGAAATATCTGGGGTAAAGATAAAAACGTGGGCGTCATCTCTAATCAGTGGCATCTCATGCCACAGGAATGGATGGGAACATACTGGAAAATGGTGCATAAAGTAGAGAGAAAAGGACATTATACGTGGCCCCCAGAAAATCTCCTGTCTGATAGCTGGGAAGAAGGAGGTGTCTCTACCAAGGAGAATGGAGAGGAAGAGAATGAGGATATAGGGTCATGGAAGCTAAAAGCTGTGGATATGGAAATAAATATGTGTATACTTTGCTGTCATGGTAGTTTATAGAAAAAGACACATGGTATCAAATATGGTATAAAATATGTTTGTTTGCTCATTCATTCATTGATTTATGTAAGAAATAGACTGTAGTACCCTGACAAGACTTTAATTTCATGCAGGCTCAAACCAGTATATATTTTTTTAACCTTTTTATGTTTTGGCAGTACTGGGGTTTGAACCTAGGGCCTTGTGCTCACTAGGCAGGTATTCTACCACTTGAACCATACTCCCAGCCCTTTTTGCCTTAATTGTTTTTCAAATAGAGTCTCATGTTTTTTTGCACAGGCTGGCCTAAACTGCATTTCTTCCCGCACAGCTGGGATGACCTACATGTGCCACCATACCCAACTTTCTATTGGTTGAGACTGGGTCTCACTAACTGTTTGCCCAGGCTGGCCTTGAACCATGATTCTCTGGATTTCTGCCTCCCAAGTAGCTAGGATTACAGGCCACCACACCTAGCTCAAGCCAATATTTTTAAAATATCTGCTTGCCATTCATTTGGAGGTAAAACTGAGCCATGTATGAAGGAGGATGGAGAGAGTGACTGCAGGTGACCACAGTCTCTCTCCTCTCTGCCCCTTATAATTCAGCTCTTGTCCCTTCTAGCAAAGCACAAGTGCCACAATAAAACTTGTTTCACCCTGCTAAGAAGGGTGCTCAGTGACCATGTCTGGCTCAGTTAATCTGTCTGTCCCTTGGGGCCCTCTGTTCAGTATCTCATAGACAACTAACCTGCTGCCTAGCTCATCAAAGAAGACATGGGAGCCCCAAATTCCCATCCTTCCATACTGGCACGTATCTCCTATCCCAAGAAAATAAGTGAACTTGCAAGAACACATTCAATGTTTCTAGAGCCATATTGGGCAAGACACTATTCCCTCTTAACCTTCCTCCTATCTCTACAGCTGTTCCTTCTCCTTTTGAGACTTCTCTTCCTTCACCAGCATCTTAAATGGTTCTATTCCTCTCCTGAGTGGCCTCATCCAGGACCACAGGCCCCCTTACCACTTCATCCTCCATCTCTAGCTCATACCTCTGTCAAGATTATGGAAACCCAGGACTTTCCATCCAGATGTTTCATGAAGCACCCAAATCAACATACAACCCTTATGGAGCCCATCACCTCCCTCAGCTCGTAGGCCTACATCTCTTTCTCAGGTCTCTTTCTTGGTCATTGATACCACCACCGACCAGTCTCTCAGGCCTCACAGTTACCCTGAACAGCTGTGACTTCCCCAATCCCCAAACCATGTCCTTCCAGTCAAGTTGACCATGCCTCCTAAACAATCTTGGCAAATACTAGTTTCATACCTACTGCTCCTATAAAACCATAAACAACTTATCCCCTTCCTTACTTTCTTCCTTCCTTTTCTTCTTTCCTCCCGCCCTTCCTTCTTTCTTTCATGCTGGGGACTGAACACATGCTAAGCACATGCTTTACCACTGAACCATACCTCCACCCCCAAGACCGTGAATTTCTTGAATAAAAGCATATTGTGCCTACCACAGTATTTTTTTTTTACCATTCCTCATAATGAGAAATACACTTTACATTATACCAAATACATGTACATACACATATACATAGAAACACAATTCCATTCAACAATAGCTATTCTTACTTTGTGCAATGTCCTTTGATACTCTTTTTTTTTTTTTTCAGTACTGGGGCTTGAACTCAGGGCCTATGCTTGCTAGGCAGACAGTCTACCACTTGAGCCACACCCCAACCCTTTTCACTTCAGGTATTTTTCCAAGTATAGTCTTGCATTTTTTTGTATGACAGCTGGACTGTGACCCTCCTATCTATCCCTCTGGTGTAGCTGGGATAACAGACATGCACAATCATGCCCAGTTTATTGATTGAAATAGGGTCTTGCTAACTTTTTGCCTGGGCTGGCCTTGAACTGTGGTCCTCCTGGTCTCTGCCTCAGTAACGAAGATTACAGGCATGAACCAGAGTACCTGACCACCAAAGGTTCATATTAACTGTACTTTTCTCCCTGCATTTTTTCCCTGGTACTGGGGGTTGCCAGACAAGGCCAACACCCCAAGTCCTGATATTTTATTGTATTTCAATTTTTAAAAAAGTCAGTCTGGGCCCAATAAACTAGTTTTTGAACACATGAATGGTTAGTTACCAGCAGTTTGGAAAACACCAGCAAGTAACTTTTGATAAACTTTTGTTGTATGCTTGCTTAATGAATGAAATCTTTTATCATCATTCCTATTTCATGGATTAGTTAACTGAATCTGAGAGAAAATTTTCTTGTCCCAGCTCCAGATCCCATGGCATTCTGCAACACCCTGTAGCCTGTAAGGCCCCTTCCAGCCCTGATATTATGCGAATCATCTGCTAAGCTCACGGGCAGACAGGCCACTGGCCAGTTACTGTTAGAAGTATTGTATTGCTTGGCCTACTTGGCTCAAAGTAACCAGATCTCAGTTTCTTGTCCAAAGTCCATTGCTAAAGGTTTAACATATGCTAACACTCTCTCCCTGAGTCAGGAACTGCCCCCACCTCTGCAAGCTACAGATTCACTGCACATCAAGCAAGACTTCTTTTCTTACTTTGGATTAAACCAGTCCTGTAGTGAAAGCTCTTTGATGTTGTTGACCTTTGTTTGTTCCTTTTCTCTTCCTTTTTCTATGTCCTCTTCTTCCTCTTCTTGATAACTGTGGGTCCTAAGCACAAAGGGAAAACAAGCCGGGTCAGGAGGGTGACCAGTAGTGGCAGGACCAGGAGGAACAGCTCATGACACACTTGCCCACGCCGAGACTATGTCACCTAGTGTGCTGGCTGGAGAACTCAGGAGTCTAAGCACTTATTTGTAAGGATACATGTTGGATGAAAAGGTACAGCACTCACCTTTCTTATGACCCATCAGGTCAGAGGTTAACGACTTAATGACCCGTAACCCTGTTATTTCAGGGCTGTGGGAGACTTGCTAAAATAGCCTTCCTAACATTTCCATTTATGATTGTCTTTCCTGAGATTTGAACTTCAGCCCAAACCTCATCCTTAACTGGAAAGAGAGAAAAAAAAAAAACCCAAAACATAAAAATACCTTAAGTATCCTACATCTACCCACAGAGAGATTCCTTGCATGATTTCAGTAAACAAGAAAGATGAGGGACTGAGGTCACAAGTATAAAACCATTTTAACTGGGTTCTCTGCAGGTGTTGGGTGGTTTGACAGACACATTCCACATTCCCAGTTGCCTTACCCATTGTCAAACCAGTTTGGAAACCACCAGCCCTTCTGACTGCTGCTGTCACCAACTTCTGGGTTTCTAAGAAATGAAAGAGAACATAAACATTTTTAGAAAAGGAGACAGTCTCCAAACTGGAAGGGGGTTCCAAACATTTTTAATGGCAGAGATCACTACTAAAAATCTAACTTTAGCTGCCAATTCATAAAACAAACAGAAGTGAAACCCTGTTTCCCCGAGTGGAGAGGACAAACCTGAAGGTCCCTCAGCCTTCCCTTCCCTGGACAGCCCCCAGTACTTCGTTTATCCAGGGAGCCCCAGCAGTATGAGGAAGGGAAAGTGGGGAGTATGAATGGGCAGCATTAATACCTAAACCTAAGCCTTGGATTTGCTACTTGCTAGCTGTGTGACTGACAGGACATTTTCCCTCTCTAAATTTCTCCTCTCTCCTATGAAAAGTATAGTTAATAACAGTGAACTTACCATGAGGGTAACTTTGAAGACTGAATGAGATAACATACATAAAACAGCTTGATAAATTGAAAATTATTGTAACAAATTGTCACCTTAGTGAAAAACCAATGCATATTTCCAAGAGTTATCTCTTTAATAAAAGTAGGAGAACTCAGGCTGCTCCAAAGATCAGCCTAAGAAAAATTCCAGTTACCCCAAGTTCAGGACTAACAACCTCAGGAAATCTGAGGATTGCTGAACATGAAATTTAGGAAACCGTAGTTAGAAGCTACCTTAGCCACCCACATGAGAAAGTGTCCACTCTTTCATTGTGAAAGTCTTTTCAATGTGGGGGCAATCTGGAGGAGAAAGAAGGAAAAGTCAACAGATACGGTACTCTTCAGATGGACAGATAAGGTGTCAAACTAATTCTGGACAGGCCTAATAGTAAGAAACTTTTTTTCTTTTTTTGAGGCAGGGTCTTGCTATGTTGCCCAGGCTGATCTCAAACTCGTAAGCTCAAGCAGTGCTCCCTCTATAGCCTCTAGCTGAGACTATAGGCATAGTGATGGTACCACCATGTCTGGATAAGAAACCTTTTAAAAGTTTATCTACTTCCAGGAAGTGTTTGAAATGACTTATGATACAAAGCTACATTTATGATAAACAGGGGAACAACATAAGAATAAAAACCACAAAAGGAAACAAATATTGATTTGGTTATCCAGGTTATGTATTTTCACATGATCTTGGTCATCCTAAATAAAAGTTCCACCTTTATTTTTATTTTACAGCTAAGTACTGGCTGAGTAGGTTTGAACAAGTTGCCAAGGTCCTATGCTATGTAAGAATAAAGGCCAGGATATAAAACTAGCGGATAAATTATATCAGAAATGACAACTGGGGCAAATAAAAACAGTTAGGAACAATACTTTGCACTGAGCTTCCTGGGAACTAAGCCAAAGACATGAAAACAAAGACTGACATAGTTCTCATTTTCTTTAAAAAATAAATTGTTTTAAACAATGATATATGATAGTCCATAAGGAGACTGACTTTTTTTCCTGATTCTTTTTCTCAGAGCAATTTTTTTGTGACTCTTTAGGCAATATATACAGGGCAGAATAATGGACAATATCTTCCCAGATTCTTTTTATCAGCTAGACAGGAATGTTTCCCAAATGTGGAGTACTACATAAAGAGACCTTTGGTAGGACGGAGGACCAAATGTGAGTCATGGTTTTACAAAGATGAGTCTGGGGAGCTGGAGGAATACAGCCCAGATCCCCAGATCCCTGGGAACAAACACACACTGTCCTCACACACACACTGGCCTGAGTACCACCGCTGGCTGGCATATGAAAAATCATCTGTAAGGGTGGAAGAGCAGATGTGAGAGACAACCAAGATGAATTCAGAGCACTTACTTTGACTGATATATCCACAAGAAAGAGCCTTCTGAGCTAAAAGCAAACAAGAAATAAAAACAGATCATGTTACTTTTCATTCTGAGAAAGGCTATTCTGCAACCATTATCGCCGAGCCCTGGGTTGAGTGAGAACTTGAGTATTAGCTACTTCCAGGTTTCTGCCTTCCTTTTGAGACATACCAATGATAAAGGTGACTGGGAATTTCCAATCATGGTTGCTTCAGGCTTTCCAGAGGAAGGGAGTGTTTGGAGAGTCTCAAGTCATGGTTGTTTTTTTTTTTGAACAGTCAGCTGTGAGTTGACAGGTTCTCTCCTGCCACCTACTCAGGCGTGCCTGGTGATGGAGGAGGAAAACCCTATGGCCCAGGCATCCCTCACCAAGGATTTATCTTCCCCCAGAAAACAGCATCAACTGCAGAGCCTAATGCCACGTCCAGCTCAGCCTTCCTCTGAGCATTCCCCAAAGGCATTTCTTTGATTAAACAAAAGCAGTGAGACTGTCCTGAAGCTTGTATAGGACTGGGTCAGTGACTGACTCCTTTAGAGGATCACCTCTATTCGATCATTCTACAAATACTTGTTGGGCATGAGTTACACACCAACTGCTGGGATACACCGCTGGCCCGGACAGATACAGTCCTCATCCTTGTGGAATACATAATGTAGTATGGAAGGCAGACCCTATTCAGATAATAAGATAGATACATGACTTCATACTCCAAAAAATATGAGAGAAAAAACATGAGTGTATGCAAACATAAGCAATTATCAGGAGGACCCACAGGTTTCCTGGAGGAGAAGTGGATGTTTTAGCTGAGTTCTGAAGGATAAATAGGAGTTCACTAAGGTAAAGAGACAGAAGTATTCCAGACAGCAAACAATATGCAAAGGCCCTGAGGTAGGAAAGAAGGAGGCACCTGCAAGGAAATAAAGAGAAGCCAGAGGTCATGGTTTGCTGGGACCTGCTGGGGAATTTTCCCTTGAGTTTTAAGCAAGGGAGGGAGTCTCCTGTGTATCTGAAAAAGTCACTGGAGATCAGAATACAGGGAGCATAAGAGTAGATGTGGAGACCATCTAAGAGGTGACGGCAGTGGTCCAGGCAGCCATGGATTACAATAGCACTGACTGCAGAGACATTTTGGGGATAAAAGTCATAGCACTTGGTACCACACTGGATTATTCCATTGTTCTGTGCAGAGACACTGTCCCTAAGTTCTACGCCTTTCTTAGCTCATTTCTCCCTCCAGTGAGTAAAAAGACTATAATTCCTGAAACATGTAAAGGAGTAATAGTTGCTTTGGACTCTGCCAAGGCTCCTGAGGCCCTTATTCCTTCTCCCCGCTTCTCCCTCTGCTAGGGTTCATGTCTTCTCCTAGAAGAACACATCCCTTCCCACCATCTACAGTTTCTCCCCTGAGCCCAATACTCATGGACCAAGATCTAAAGTTCCTAGTTCCTAAATCAGTTTATTGATCCCGATGATATTCATAATAGCAAATACTCAGCCAGGCATTGCTCTAAGCAATTTACCTGTATCAGCTTAAGTCCTCTCATCAGGAAAGCAGTTTCTCTTCTGATCCTCAGTCTACCTACGTGGAAAGTGAGGCACAGGGGCGTTAAATGATTTTTCCCAAGGGAAGGACAGTGTCTCATGCTAGTGAGTAGTAGAATGTGCATTTGAACCTGGGAAATCTGACCGAATCCTGCAAAAGGTGTGTGTGCAGTGGGGGGGGATAGACAAAGATGAAGAGAAGGAAGAGGAGGACAAGGAGAAGAAGGAAAGATTCTTTGTTCAAGACTCTTTCTGGATCTCCTTGTCTGTGCAATGTGCTGTGAGGAATATGAACGAGCCAGGTTGAACTCTTGCCCTTAGGGGGGCTAGGATCTAGATGGGGCAATAAATAATTTATGATACAAAGTAGATGAAGGATGTCAAAGTAAAGCTGAGGACATAAATTTTCCTAAAATGTGACCTTGAACCTTAACATTTAACATCGGTAGTTCTGCAGTTTGAACTCAATACCTTGTGCTTGCTAGACAGGCACTTAAGCCACTCTGCCAGCTCCACATTTAACATTTTTGAAATTCAGTATCCTCATCTAGAAACCTGGAATAGTACCCACTTTGCAGGTCTAGTGTGAGAATAGGACGTATTGCATTGCATGGGTCCTGACAATGGTGGCTGCTAGCACCAGCACCAGCACCATCACACTACTTTCATTACAAATTTTTGTTTCCTCCAGCTCTAAAATTCTAAGATTTTTCTTCCAAACAGCCTTAAATCAAATGCTCTTTTTTATAACATTCTTCTAAGGTTCTTTACTGACAACGTTCTCTTTACTAATTGGTGGATGTGCTCAACATAGTTATTTTTAAATCCTTTTGAGCTCAGTGCTGCTTGCCCCTCTAAGGTCAATGTCCTCAGCCCACCTCAGGCTCTGGTGCCCAGATTGAGTAGTCCTTGATGTAGGACTACTCAAGTAAGAAATAAATTTCTGTTGTTAGAGCCACCCAATCTGTGGTACCTTATTGTGGTGGCTGGGCTGACTGAGACAATGATGATGATGATGGCAGCTAGCACTTTTCCAGTGCTTAGGAGAGGTCCCTGCCTTTACCCCATAAGCTTTGTACACCTTATTGAATCCTCTTAACAACCCTATGAGGCAGATACTGTCATTATCCCCACTTACTTATTTTATTTTATTTTTTAAGACAGGGTCTCACTATGTAGCCCAGGCTGTTTACATAGTGATACTCCCACTTCAGCGTTCTTAGTGCTAGGGTTACCTGCTTGTATCACCACACATCACTCATTATCCTTATTTTTATAGGTAGGGGACCGGAAGAACAGTGGTTGGTTAACTTGCCTAAGGTCACAGAGGAGGTAAATGGCAGATCAGGACCAGTCAAGGACTGGCCCTTACTCTACAGCCAGGAGGCTTCCTTGGTCAAGTGCCTAAGGGAGCCCCAGGGTTCCCACGCCCTACTCTGACTCAGCTCTTCTTTGAACTAGTTTCCTCAATTTAAAGAACCTAGTTTCCAGACCTCTAAAACTTGGTCACTTTCTGGCTTGTCAAGTTTTTCTCAAAATTAGTTATTCAGAATGAAACAAGAGATGTGTGCCGTATCTCCAGACTAACTGGTGCACCTAAACGTATAGGGTTTTTTGTAACCAAGACAGTCCTGATGGTTCATTAAACTTTAGGATTTAAGAATTAAAAAAGATATTCAACTGTAATCAGGGCCACTATTTTGAACTTGGGACTACTAAGACATTTCACTATGAAAATAGTAAGGGTGCCAGGACAGCTCTGCATAGTTCAACTATACAGCGGACTTCTTGAAGCTAAAGGCAGAGCTTTTCTGGGGTCTTTGCAGTCAAAGCCACCCTGCCTCTCTATAGCTCCCTTTGGAGACTTCTTTTGGTCAGAATCCTCTCCTGGTGGAATCCCCAAGGTATTGTCATTTCTTCTAAAAAGCACAGAGACAGCTGATATATTTGATAATTCGTAACATTTAACTCATTTTGTTTCCAGAATTGTGTGAGAGAGAAAAATTTTAGCTAGGCATAAATGAATTACCAGCAACTGTATATTTTTTCAGCAAAAGTCAACAACTTTTGAATTGCTCCTTCAAACTCTGCTAATGTCTTATGATTGCAAAATTCAGGGTGGATTTCTCAGGGAATTCTCGTCTGAAATACCTTAAAGGTAATTTCCATATCTGATCATACAAATTACTTAAGATTACATTTTGGGCTTAATTTAACCTTACTTTCTCTGAATCTAGCCTACCATTACAAAAAAATCAAGATAATAGGAACGTGATAGGAAGGAAAATAATTAGTCAGAAATTACTAGGAAGATCTAGTGATTTTAAAGACATTCCAGGACTCAGGAATACAGAGAAGATGGAATCCCTTATTTTAGGTTTCAGTTAATCCTAAATTTAGTTCAAGGTGGTAACTTGGCTGATGCTGGAAAAATAGAGTCAAAGCAATTCTTCCATCAACATAATTTCATCCTGTTCCATAATTACCTGTTGATATATTCCCAAAACACAAAAACCACAGTTGAGACAACCAGCATCAACAGAATTACTTTTCCTTTGACATTCATTATTTTCTCCTGGGAAAAAAAGAAGAGACGGAAAATTAGATTAAATAAATGAAATCCATAGTGAGAAATGGCTTTCAAAAGTGCTTTACTCATATCCATGCTAAGAGGATAAATTTGTGAATATTTAACTACAGCTGAGGAGTGTGTTCTACCTTAAATTGCATAAGCCAGCCATGGCAAATAGGTCAACTCCGTTCATAGAGAAGGCTGCCTGTGTTGGGAAGGCTGCTAAGGCTCCAGTGGATCCCCATTGAGGTTCAGAGGGAAAGGATCCTGATTTGCCGTGGATATAGGAAAGTGGGGGAATAGCTGTAAGTGGTTCCCCAGAACTTGTTACCTTCCAATTCAGGTTACAGCCACTTTATGACATGTGACTTCAGGGAGCCACTTCATTCCCTAACTGTGCTGCCCTTGGGGTACTAACTCCATGTCCCCTGCCTGGGGAGAAAGTGACTCTGGTCCTTTATAATTTAGCCTCACCTACTTCCCAGCCCCACCCAGTTCACCCCCACCACACTCACAAGCAAACAATTGGCACATAACCAGTACATAGTTATTTTTGGGTTACTGCATGAAATTGTGATTGAAAGGGAAGAGGAATGCTGGGTAGAGAGTAACAGGGCTGGGAAGTACTTCAATTTGGTGGTCAGGGAAGGCTTGCTGTGGAAGGGACATGAAAGTTGAGTTCCAAATGATGAAGATAAGTTTGAAAAGGATACAATTCACCATGAGAATATTCTGGGAACATCTATAACAGGCTGATAGGAGAAAAAGCTTCTCATGTTTAAAAAATGAAAACAGAAACACCCTCAAAAAAAGCTGAACAAGAAGCTGAATAAGTTCTCTGGCATCCCAGTGGTTAGAACAAGGGCCAGAGATGGTGGTGGGCAAAAAGATAGTAAGCAAGGCAGAAGAGTTTTGAAAGGTGCAGAAGGGTGGATGGGAAGCTGCCAGAGCCTTTGGAGATGGAGAATAACTGCATCCAACTTCACTGGAGGATCTGTCTGTGTGGGGTGTGCAGGGGAGATGGCAGGACCATAGTGGAAGCAGAAAGGCAAATCACACACTATTCTAACAGCCAAAAAGAGGGGGTAGCTATATTGTATCTTTAAATGTTATTGTCCATATATTATGAAGTTTTGACATTTTGTAAGACTTTTCTGATTGGAGAGATACTGCCTTTCCTGGGACTCAGTTCTTAGAGATAGCAGGGACCTAGTTGGGAATATGCCTTTGATACACGACTACCTAATCCAGAGCCGAACCTCCTCTATCTGGTCTGTGAACCCTGGAAGACAATAGAACTTGACCTTAATTATCCCAAGACCCCTAGAAATTACCCATACATCTTAGAGCTTGCCAGAAGTATTCCAAGTAGCCAATTCTAAAATATCCACCCTGCCCTGCCTTACCTTTCCCATAGAAACCCCAATAAGGGCTCTGGCCTTATGCTTTTCCCTCACTCCTGTCTTCTGCTTCCTGACAACTCTGAGGTCTTTCCCACGTGGTCCTGCCTCCTGTAACCAAGTCCTGTAAGCATAATAAACTTTGCTTTTTCCTGAAGCTCTTCTGTGTCTTTTCTTTCATGACCACACTTAACTGACCATCACATAAAGAACACAGAACAGTGGCCTGTGCTAAAAATGAGGCAGACAGACAGGCAGCAGTAGATTCAATCTAAATATACTTTGGAGTCAGGCAGAGAAAGATGAGGCATGATATGACTCATTGGTAGAATCTAAAAAAGTTGATCTCACAGAAGTTGAGAGTGGAATGTGGTTATCAGAGCTGGGGAGAGAATGGGAGGGAGGATGGGAAAGGTGAGGCAATAGGTACCAGTTACAATTAAATAAGTTTGGAGATGTTATTGCACAGTTGGGTGACTACAAATAATAGTACCATAACAAATGCTGGAGGAGGTACACTTAACCTGATTTAAACAGTATACAATGTATATATTATATCAAAATGTTATATGGTACCCCATTAATATACACAATTTTTATGTTCTATTACCTATTGGTAAAAAACTAAATTAAATATATATGAAATAAATTACATAATATAAATAAATTTCATGTGTAAAAAATATATACAAACTTAGGAAAAAGAGTTGAAGGGATTTGGCTGGTAATTTAGCTATCAGGGATAAGGGAGAGAGGCAAAGCAGGATTCTGCCTGAGCATCTAGGAAGACAACTGCACCATTTCCTGCAATGATGGGACAGTTGGAGAAGGAAGTGGCATGGGGGATAAGAGTCATGAGTTCTCCCCTTGGATGTGTCCATTTTGAGGGCAGCATTCATACAGGGCTCTGTCTCCTATAGCGGGCAGTCTGTGAGCTTGCCAATTCACTCTTGAATTCCCCTGTGCCCTCCACACAGAGCATATGAGGACCTCAGTAAGTGTTTGGTCAGTGAATGAAATGAGATTGTCACTGAAATTTGTCCCTTCTGAGGACAGGTTGTTTTCCAACTTATTTCAAAAAGAGTTCTTAGTTAATTCCAAGCTTGGGTCTTATCACCTCATATTTCTCTCACATTACCTTTATTATTAAATCCATTTTTTAAAAAAACTGGAACAAATGATGTTTTCTATCATGATACTCTATTCCCTCTTGCTCAGAGAGTGGGCTGTTTAGAAATAGAAAAGCCAAAACTGAACTCAGTGTCATAAGTGTATGTAAACTCCTAAATGGAGATGACAAGTGGGTCAGTAGACATTCAGGTTTAGAGTTCAATAAAGATGTGAGCAGGGTGTAGTGGTACATGCTGTAATCCCACCGACTCAGGAAGCAGAAATAGTATGATCTTGGTCTGAGGCCTCCCCTGCCAAAAGCGCAAGACCCTATCTGTAAAAACAAACTAAAAGCAAAGGACTGGGAGCATGGCTAAGTGGTAGGGTGCTTGAGTTCAATCCCCAGTACCGCCAAAAAAAAAAAAAAAAAAAGACATTCGGATTGATACCTCTTTGGAGGAGCTGCTCAGATAGGAAGCTACTCATTGCTGAAGAAACCTCCAACTTTCAATGTCATTATGGTGGGTGGCATTCCAGAGACCCTGAGAAGATGGGCCTGTTCGGCCACATGTAAACCTCAGTCTCAGGCTTCTTCCCCTGAGGTACCATGTGAGCTGGCATACATAGCCAGGGCCCATGGCAGAGTCAAAAAATGCAGAAGACTACATGCAACTCAGCCCCATGCTGACAAGAGCCAATTGAAGTATGAATCAATAGTACCAGAGTGGGTGCTGGAAGAGTCCTGGGTTTGGAGTATAAAGAGCTCCATTTGAGTTCCAATTTTGACACAAGAAACCATACAGATTCTTAGGCCCTCATCCATGACACCAAAGAGCTCTGAAAACCAAACGCCTGTTTGTAATCCAATCTTCATTAAGGCCCCAACTAACATGAGGCCATTTGTAACCTTTAGCCCACTGAGAAGACTGTTCAAAAATTTCTGTGCATAAACACTGATGTACAATGCAGTGCTGCTGCACCAGGGGTGATACATAATACACGATTTGCAATTCTTGTCCAAAAAAGCCTGAATTCCAACAGAGCCAGGCCCACGGTTTTAGATCAGGGATTGTGGACCTCTACTATACTGAGTTCAACTGATTTCTTCCTTTTTAAATAAAAATAGTGATGATTTATCCCAGCACCCAAGAGGCTGAGGTGGGTGGGAAGATGGCAAATTTGAGGCCAGCCTGGGCTACATATACAGCAAGACCTGTCTCAAAACACAAACAAGTAAGCAAACAAAAAATAGTGATAATTTCAAGAGATAGCATCCATAAAATACTTAGCATCATGCCTTGGCATAGGATAAATGCTTTTTTTTATGCCAGTTTTTATTACTGATGTTCATAAAATGGACTGTTGGGAGGATCCAATGAGACAACATAGTCCCTGGTACTTAGCAAAGTGCTCAAAACCTACTTGAAGGAAAAAGAGCGACAGTTCAGGAATAAGAACATGTTACACAATGAAGTGCAAATAGATGCAAATGAGGAGACTCTAAAGATTTACCCATCTGTTCTGAGCCTCAGCCTGATTAAGAACTGCTGGAAAGTGGGATTAACTGATTTTCTCTGATCAAGCCCCAGGCTCTGCCACAACACACTGTGCATATTGAGAGGCCAAAGGAAACCTGGCTGAGGGGCTCAACTCCACCTGCTGAGGATCAACTGCAAATTGCCTCCCAGTTAGAAGCATTAAACAGGGCAAAGCAAAAACACTCACCAGAGAACATTGACGCTCCCATCAGGGACTGTCCAAATCAGGTCTACCTCATCTAGTCTCCACCCTAAATATGCAAGTGTTTATGATTTTTCTCAATTTTAGGAATTAGCATCAGAGGCAACTCCAGAAGCCCATGTGTTTCTGGACTTTATAGATGGCTTGAATCTGTTTACTCTTCCTGTGGCCATTTGTCATTCTGGTGTGAGTCTTACAAATGAAAGATGTCTGAACCAATTTTGCATCCTCTAGCGAAGCACTAGAAGGGCTTCCTGGACTCTAGAACCCAAGTCTCCAGGGAAGGCTTGGCAGGGTGGCCAATGGATCTTGAAACACCCTGTTTCAAGTGGAGGAGTGGAACTTTATATCCCCTAGCCCCATCCCTAGGTGACCTCAGCCAGCCCCAGTTGCACAGCCTGTGATGGTGCAGAGCCCTCCTGTCATCTCTGAGAGCCTGACTTAACACTCCTGTCATTTATTTTTAATGTCATCCTATAGCTCCATTTGAGCTGCTTCCCGTGTCACTCCTAGACTTGGGACATGTGCAGACTGTGAAGGCATTTCACAAGGCAGAGTCACACTGCAAAGCCTTCACTTTCTTCGTTCCCTTTCCTCCTTCTTCCTTTTCCCCAGCTATTTCCCCAGAGGAACAGACAGATTTTCCTATGTGGCCCATAAATTAATTCTTCTTTACACAGAATGATGCTCACTGGCTCAGAGAATCTCACAGATTCACCCCAAACTGGCAAAATGAAAGTATTCCTTCCAAACAGAATTCCTCTCTAGAAGGAACACTATGGACCTTGTTTTCTCCATCTCACATCAGGGAAAAGGTGAACCTCTCAGTTCTGGAAAAGTCATTATCTCAGAGAACTTGGGCAAAGTAGTGGCTGAGGAAATAGAACTTCCCTGGCAGCCTAAAGAGGCCTCCCTGCCTGCGAACCCTCCACTGGACCTGGGAATCCATCCCCTCCTCCCCAGGTATCTGCTGCTGCTCTGCTTGAGCCTCATTCATGTTGGGATACTGTGATGGGTCCAGACTGACATAAGCCCTGGCACCCAGTAGGGTGGCATCCAGTGTGTTTGTGGAGTGAAGAAATGAGTAAAGAGAATCCCAAGACACTTTAGTCCTGCTCCACCATGGATCTGGTGCTTCTGTGCACCAGATGGTTCTTAGAGCCAGAGACACACCGTCCATTCCAGACAGGGCAAAGAGACTCGACAGGATACATAATGTCAGATAGTGACAAGTATTGCAAAGGAAAACAAAGCAGTAAGATAATAAATTGGCTGTTTATGACCTTGGACAAGACTCCTTTTTTTTTTTTCTTGCAGTGCTGGGGATGGAACCTAGGGGATCCCACATGCAGGCTAGCACTCTACCACTGAGCTACATCCCCAGCCTAAGACTCCATTCTTCGGTCCCCCACATTCTTAATTATAAACAAAAGTTAGATCAAGCATTCCTGGTAAAAATTAGGCTAGGGTGAAGACTCTCACATCAGGTGTTGATGTATGTTGATGTAAGAGTTACTTTAACCTTCACAGCCTCTGACTGATATACAACACAGAGATGCAAACACCTCTTATGGAGTTCTGGAAAGAACAGGAATACACCATGTCTATGAAGCACATTATACCCAGCAGTTAGTAAATGCTTCACAAATGGCAGCGGCAATAGTGATGCCCTTCAGGCGGAGAGACTCAAGTCTTAAAAGCAGAACTGTGGGTTCCCCTGAGAGAATAATCTTGACCTTGTGTGACAGCACCTCACAGAGAAGTCGGGGAGCCCATTCCCACACCGTCCGTTGAGGTAGAACAAGCTCTGCTCTACCTCAGGAAAAGGGCACAGTCCAGCAGCCAGCTGCCCCTCACATATGCCAACATGGGCCAGGAGAGGGGCCTGAGGCCCACCGCAGGCAACCTGAGGATCCGCCCAGCCCAGCACACTGTTGGTCTTTTACACTGAAGGCATGGAGTGCCTCTGACCTAAATTTCTCCTGCAGGCTTTCTTGATTGACCTAGGACCTGGATGAGAAATCAACCACAGGGTTGGACACCTCATTTTTCTATAGAGCAGGTCATTTAGCCACATGGAGTTCATCTTGCTTTAGTGGTCCAAATGCTTTCCTTGATGCGATAATCAAATGACAGGTTTTCCAACTGACATGCGTGGAGCACAGAGGCTGGCTTACCAGGAGCTGGTGAAACTTGGGCCTTAGGGTTCCCCACTGCATGAGTCCCCTTGCAAGACTGGGCCTGTTTCCTGTTTCCATTTGGAGTGAGGATGGGAGAGCCTTAAATATTTCCTAGATCAGAGGGTGCTGCCTATGCTTGGGAGAATCCTTATCTAGCTCTGGTGGCTGTCCTGGGGCTTCAGGCAAAAGCAAGGGGCTGACCTCACTTTCATACCCACCTGGGTGCCAGGAACAACTTGCCCCAGAGTTTTTTCCAGCACCCAGAACCCTCCCCCTTGGACTCAGGGACAAGGAGCTGACCTACATACTTCTCTGTTCTCTGCTCAGGGGTCACAATGGTCCAGCTCTCAAAGCCACACCAGTGCCTCCTCCTTCTAGGACCCAGGCCCAGCTGCCCCCCGACACCTAGTAAGGAGCAAAGGACTTGCTCTTGGGACCTTACTGAAGCCACCTAAGCAGGAAACTGTCAAAAGTTTTATGGATGTGGCATTACCAACAACAAACTGTATTTTTACAGTTTTTACAGAAAAGAAACTTTTCTTAATTCTTAGCAACCATGCCAGAGGCAAAACGGACTTATCTGGTTTTATCTTCTATTGAAAAATGATAACCAGAACATCCTTTTTCAAGATAAAGAGGCAATCAAACAGTATGCAGCCATAATACAGCATGTGTAACAAGCAGCTACACACGATTCATCATTTTGTATTATTTATCCAACATTTTATTATTATGTTGTTTTCTGGGGTTTTGTCATATTTGGAGAACTTGTCCATTTTTGTTATTTGTTGTGATATCTCTTCTCATAGTCTTAAGTATTCACTTCTGTATCTGATAGGGTATTTGCAACTTTGCATTCTTTTACTTAAAGACACCCATGGCTCATGCCGGTAATACGAGCTACTCAGGAGACAGAGACTGGCTAGCCCCAGGCAAATAGTTGGGAGGTCCTCTTTCCAAAACAAAAAAAAGATCACAATTAAAGGTGCAGTGGTTTAAGTGGTAAGAGCTCCTGCCTAGAAAGTGTGAGGTCCTGAGTTCAAATCCCAGTGCCACCAAAAAAAAAAAGAACCCTCCCAACTGAATCAACTTCAAGCCCTGCAGTGCCTTGGATCCATCTTGATTAAGCCAGTCCAGGCAGCAGTCTCAGTTCCACCTCAGCAACCCTGTGAAGTTACTCTATTATCCAATCCCATTTTGCAGATAGGAAAACAGAGGCTCAGAAAGGCTGAGTAACCTGCTCACAGTCACTCAGCATAAAATGGTGTGGCTGGGATTCAGATCCGGGGAGTCAGCCTTCAGTGCCCTCTGATGCATGGCCAAACATGAATGCTCATCCACGGACTCTTCATGCATCTCCTGGTGTGTCCTCTCTTTCTACTCCTCATGATTACCACATAGTGACTGACCCAAAGCTAGCCAAACACCAGCTAGAGCCGCCCAGGGCCAGCTTTCCTTGGACTATCTGAGGAACGTGATTGGCTCAGCTCTTCTGCCATCTCCAGGTGCCTCCTGTGTGCTGGTGGGGGCATCCTCATGTCATCTTGTTTACTCCTCACAATAGTCAATGCAGTGGCCTTTGCTCAGCTTTTTGACTGAGACTGAACTTTAAAGAAAAGGGAGTAGCTGGCCTAAGGAAATAGCTAAGCACACCCAGAAGCAGCAGATTTTAAGAGCAGACCCTCTGCCTCCAGGCCCAATTCTTGGCTTTGGAATGGTGCTGGAGGTAAGGAGGAAGAATGCCTTATTTTCCTAAAACCTCTTCCAAACTGCAGAACAGAGAATTGCTCCCCGTCGGAAGAAGCACAGCATGATTCACGTTGGGGGTAGGGTGGGGGAGTGCAGGGAAGCTGTTTCCGGTTATGTTTTTCATTATGAAGGTCAGAGTAAACACAGACGTAGGAAAATAAGAGCAGGTCTCAGGCTGAATACACGACTGTGACTCCAGCCATCACACACAGAACAACCTGCTCTTGGAATTACATCTCGTGGAACCTCTTCTTGACTCCGCTTTGGGAAATCTAAAGCCTGGATCCAGCTGTACCTTTTCCTTGCTTCCTGGCCCAGAAATCACTGTGCAAGGATTTTTCCAAAGAGAACCAGTGCAAAAGGCATGGCAGTTGCTGCCCAGTCCTGAGAGAGCTCTGTATCCTCCCACAATGCCCACCCCTGGAGGCCCCATGACTCCCATCTGCCCTAGCCTTGTTAGCTTGATTCTTGCAGAGAAAAAGTCCAGGCCATGTCCACAGCACAGCTTTAGCCTCTGAGGTCCTAGGAGGGAAGCAAAATAAAGCAGAACTTACAGCGAAAGTCTCTGAGCCAGCATCCCGCCAGCTCCAGCTTCCAGATCCACTTCTGGGGAGAGGACTTTGTCCCCTTCCAAAACTTCTGAGCGGACCAGGAAGAGGTAAGAGCAGAGCAAGGATTCTCTGCCAGATGGGTACATGTGGCAGCCTGCTCACCGTTCACAGTGACCCTGGCCTAGGAGAAGCAAATCGCTTCAACATTTCACATACCTCATCGTCTGCTTCTTTCCCTCCAGAGCAAAAGGCAAAACAACAGGGTTCTATCGAGCTCCTTCCAGCAAAAGGAGGCCCGGCTCAGAGGAAGGGAAGGTGCTGCCTTCCAGCTCCTGTCAAAAGAATTAAACAGCTGTTTCAGGAAGAGGGGGTAGACAGCTCCCTCACTGCTGCCACGGCTTTGTTCCTGTAGCCTGGGGAAATGGGCTGTTTATCAGGTCTGTTGACTCAGAGTTACTTGCCAGGGCGGAATTGGTCCTCTCTGGGCTGATCCATGGCCGGCCTCCCTTGCCAAGTGAAACTACAGGACCAAATGGGGCCAGGCGTCACAAGAGAGAAAGCCACCACTCTCGAAAGGGATACACAAGCCACCCATCTCACTCACTTCTGAGGAAAACTGGGAACTATTTGGGACCCAAACAATCTCAAATGATAGCTCACAGGAACACTAAATACAGAAGTTTAAAAAAAAAAAAATCCCAAATCAGAGGCAGGTTGATAAAGCACTTTTGAAGTACTCAAGACTCTTGTTGAAACTCTTCCTGAACATCCCTCAGATAGAAGCCCTTGCTTTCCACCCTATAGGCTTTGGGCCTGTTTACTTTTGTATTTTTAAGAGAATGGTATGAGATCGCCACATATCAAACCATGCTATAAAAACTTTAAAAGGTCACAGAGGCCCACCCTGCTCCTGGCCTGAACAATGCTTAACCCTTCCCATACCCACCCTCTGATCCCAAAATAGAATTTCTCACTGACAGCAGTGGATTTTCAAGCTAGAACTAAAAAGCTAATACTTTTTCAAATTGCAAATGAAGTCATTCTCAGAAGCCCACTAAGTATAACAGACGGCACAGGGAGGGAGCGTTGGCTCAAGCAGAGACACTTCAAGCTCCCTGCCTCATCCTTCCCAAGGGGCTCAGACACTGCCAGGAAGTACAAACAGTCTGGGAACCCCAGGCTAAGAGGGCCTGACCAACGCCAAGAATCCAGCCTCTTCCTCCTGTTCTCAGAAGGAAGTTTCACAGCTTCCTTCTCTGAGGGCATGAACTAGTTGACCACGACCCTTAAGGTCTGGAAGTCCTTCCTAACAGCTTGCTTAAATCCTGCCCACTGGTATCTACTCAAGTCACACAAACACACACCTTGTGGTGCCATCATTCTGTTCCCAGCTCTACACTCAAGAGATGTGAACCAGAAAAACACCTCAAGCTGGATCCCCCAAGTCGTTTCATCAGAACAGATAAGTTGTCACCTAGTCCCACAATAGGATCCTGTCTGCAGCTATGAAAATGAACTTGCTACAGCCACTCATGCCAATGAGGATGGTTCTCACACTTAGTATTAAATGAAGCCTGGCATGAAAAGATGCAGGCTGGATGACCGCTTAAAGTTCAAAAATAAGAAAAAATAATTTATGGTTTTAGGATGGTGGTTTTCTTGGATGTGATAGTAACTGGGAAGGGGCATTTTCTGATATAGATGGTGACACAGATGTGTCCACTGTGTAAAATGCTTCATGAAGGGGCCTTTTCTATATGGATATTAAAAATGAGAAATCTTCCTGCTGGAAGCTATGTGTTGTTAGGCTTCCTGCCTCCTGACCACCTCTACCAAGACTGTGCCTGTTCCTTCGTTTGTATTCCTCACCCCAATTCTATGTACTGAATCTGTCAGTCTGTTATGTTAAATGATCTAAGAATCTAGACCTATGGTTAGTGGGGAAGGGAGAGAAAGCAGATTGGAACCTAAATGGCCAAAATAAGTGAGGACTTTTTTATGTTATTATTTGAGGTACTGGGTGTGGAACCTAGGTCCTTGGGCAGGCTAAGAAAACATTGTAACGCTGTCCGTTAGAGCCACACCCCAGCTCTCCATGGGGCCTTCTGATGAGTGCACTTATCCTGGCTCACATGCTCTCACTTTATCTTTACAAAGCAGCCTCTGTCTTAATCTCAGGGGACCCTCATTGTCACCCATGCAGAGGCAGGGACAGCCCTTCACCATTTTCACAGATGAACATAGAGAGGTTATGAAAGTCTCCGTGACTCATCCGAGGTCACCAATTGGGACATTTCCCTGGGAGGTCCAGTGCTTCCCTTCCCACCTAGGGGCCTCCAAGGGACATACTCTCTATCAGCAAAAGAATAAGGCTCCAGACAGGTTATGCTCTCTGGCAGGCAGAAAATGCCACTTGTAGAGGATTCAGACACTACCTTCCTTCTTCCCTGACAGACTTCTCCTGGAATTCTCAAAGCTAAGGAGCACCCATTAACTCACAGCGAGTGAGCCTCAGGCTGCAGAACTCCACTGATCAAAGTCCAGTGCTGCCCAGAGATGAAGGGAGTGATGGAGCCCATTGCTCAGCCCTCAGAGGCCGTGGATCCAATCCCACAGCAGCCCACATTTGGTGCCTGTCCATCTTCCATGTCTGAAGTAGGAGAGTTCCTGGGCCTCTGTGTCAGGGTGGAGGCAGCTGCAGCTCCAGCATGGGGAGCACTGGCTTTACCTCCCAGGTCACTGGGAGACAAAGGTCAAGAGTGCCACCCTGCTTACCTCAGTGGGAATGTGAGGATTAAGTGTTCTTGGCAACGAATGCCACTGACATAAAGCTTGCAAGTTATCATCATTTGCTTAATCCTAAATTTATGGAGGTCACAAAAGACAAGCTTGCTGGTACTTGCAAGTGATAAAGCAATTCTGTTAGTTGCCTGTCCTGAGCAATGGGGTGAGCATATCCCCACCAATCTCTCAGGGTGGTTGATGGCTATAAACGTGCTGGTGGTGAGCAGAGTCTCTGGGGCATGATTGAGTCCTGGCTCTGTCCCTTATGCTGTGCTACTCAGGTCAACGTACTTGACTTCTGCATGCCTCCACTCCTACATCCATGAAATAGGAATGATAGATAGCATTTAGATGGTGGCTGGCACGTGGTAAGTGGGCCATGTATGCAATACCCATTACTGTGAGAATTAAAGGAGTTAGGCTTGGAGAAGGACTTAGCCACCCCAAGGTACTCCAAAATTTTCTGGGACAAGTATGTTTTGACCATGGAGAAAGAGGTTTCTAACATGATGCTTCCAGGACCTTCAGGAATTGTTGCAGACTCCCGAGTCTGAGCTGAAATAATGGTGGCACTGATGAGCCTCTGCAGTCAGAAGAGTTTGTACATGTCAATCTAAATCCCAGCAAGGACAGTTGCCTGGGCTAGAAAAATGGAATCATATGACTCTTTCTAAGTCATGCAAGGCAAGTCATCTTGAGCGCTGCCTCTGTCCTGCCAGCTCCAGTGCACAATGGACCACAGCCATGCTGGAGGACTCCTGTAGACACAAGCTTCCCTCCAGAGCCTCGCACAAGGAAATCCCTCCCTGGGGCTAACTCCAGTTCTTGATGCTGTAGGTTAGACTCTGAATAAAGAAGAAGTTGGCTTCACTGACACTTTGAAAGGTATGAGGAGCTCCCAACCCAGGGAAAAATTCCAAGTCACAGATGGCAGCCTGGCTGGAGATATCCCCAACCAAGGAGCCTCGGGTCTCCTGCCTCTCTGGGTTCCTCTTACCATCAGGCAGATGACCCGATGGAAAAGGGAAAGAGGCTCCTGATTGCTCTAATCACAATGCCATCTGTAAAGCTGTCCTGCTCTTTTAGAAAGCCTTGCCCCTCTCCCAGAGGGACTCTTATTCTGGTTGTATTGTTGGCATTGACATGAAATTTTCTCACTTCAAACCAGTCCCATACACAGGCTCTCTGAATAGGGAAGACATGCTTCCCAGGCTCAAGGGCCAGGAGGGAGGCCTCCAGGACAGGCAGAAGAGGGGGAAGTCTTGAGGAGCCAAGTAAACCAACTCCCAGCCCCAGAGCAGAATTGCATCTTTAACAGGCAAAAACAATCATCTTCCTTCAAGGTCACCTTCATGACCTGTTTAGAGCCTCTACAAAGCCCCATTTGACTTTCATACAACCCTAAATGTAAAGAAAGGAAACTGAAGATCAGCTAAGAACCCCACAGAGATGTGTGATTTGAGTCCCCAGCCCTGGAATGGAAGACAAGTGTGTTTCCGTGACTCAACCTTAACCTCTTCGACCCAGACCAAGCTGGAGTGCAACTGGATGTGGTGAAGGACGGGCTGTGAGGTCACTGGAATGCACACAGTATCAGTGTGGGGACTTGTCTGGCCATTTGTTCTCTGCTGGGTCTTCCAGTACCTAAAATAGTATGTAGTATCTGTTACAAGCTCAACAGATGTTTGTTGAACGAATGTTGAGTGAACATCTACAGGGGATAGACAGGTAGCAAAAGTATGTGAATTTGACTGTAAGGCAATAACGAGTAGTGGGATCTGTGGTTAAACTGGGGAACTACTGCAAAAGCCAGATCAGAAACAGATTTTGGGTTTTTTTTTGTTTCGTTTTATTGAGACTACGACTCACCATGTAGCCCAGGCTGGCCTCAAACTTAAGTTCTTCCTGCCACAGCCTTAGTGCTGGGATTACAGCTGTGCAGCATCATACCTGGCCCTGTTGGGGACTTTAACTGGCAGCCACCTACCCTAGAAATCAGCTATAACTGGCATGACCCTGGGTAACCTCGTGAAGAGGAAGACAGCCTTGAAACAGGGTTGTAAAACATGGTAAACTGTCAATTAAAAGCTGTAACCTCGGACAGAGCTGTGAGGAATTGCCCATTAGAGCCATGCAAAAGTTCAGGACCGAGATGAAAGGCACCATGCAGAGATAAGCACCCATCCCTGCCTTTCTTTGTCTCCACTTGTAAATAAACTTTCCAAAACAGGACTCCCCTGCTGTTCTTATCTAAACCTTAGGTTTCTATTCCACTACTAGCCCCTACTTTTTGGGAGAACGCATTCCTTGTAACCTGATAAGTAAACCTCTGGTGTTTCCCCAGTTCCCAATAAATGGTATTACCCCACCAGCAGGATGTGGGCAAGATCAGGAAAATGTGACCCCAGGGGCATGAGGAATTCCTATGTGACGATGATTGATGCTTTAAAGAGTATAAGACCTGCTTAAACTTTTCTCTCAGGGTCCTTGTTGAAACCTGCTGCATCAGGCAGATGCTCGGACCCTAGCTGGCTAGAAAATAAACCTC